TGGATCCAATTCACTTGTTTGGCAGTGGAACACTTGGTAAGCATGAAAAGCCCACTTCATACTTAATGTTCCTCAACTCCCAGCCATCAACCTTCTGCTACACTCTGCCCTGAAAAAGTCACAGAGGCTCAGAGTGTCAATGATCAGTTCTAAGGAGAATTCCAAAAATATATTATATGTACACCCAACTTTTGAGTACCTTCAACAAATAATTCTACTTGAAGTTCCCACCACATCAATCTGTGATCAATTTGACCATCTTCCCACTGAAACCAATTCCATTTCCCGCTTTCTCTATTGATGACAACGCCCACCTTCAATCTCCCTAGTAGACACACCCCAAGCCCAGGAATCACCTCTGAAGCACCTCCCACATTCAGTTATGCACCAAGTCTAGGCAGCACTTTCACTGTTACAGCCTCAATTCTGGCTTTGGCTAACTTCCTCCTTAACAAATGCGTCCTGACCGCCCCTGCAGGCCAGGCACTGCGGTGCTGAATGAGACAGACGTGAACTTGGCTCAGAGACTAGAGGGGAAGCCAACGAGTACACAAGTAACCACGTGGAAAAGGGAAAGAACACTGACCATGCAGGAGCCCAGGGTGTTATGGAAGCCACTGGGCTAAGGAAGCAAGAGTCTTTAACTTCAGAATGAGTTAAACTCAGTTCTGAAACTGAAAGATGGTTAAGGCCTTGCTAGGTGAAAATCTACTTGTGCAGAATAGTAAGAAAAACCTTATAACTGCAATTAAATACGCGTACAATGAGTCGAGAAAACCTCTTTCGTTCTACTGTAATGTAAACTCCATGAGAGCAGGAAGCTCATCTTCGCTTGTCGCTCTATCCCTGAGCCTTGAGTTAGCAGCTTTGCCCACCGTGGGCAAGTACTTGATGGGTAATGTACGGAGCTGCCTGAGCCCTGCAGTCTCATCCCTCATCTGCGGGAGGGGACGACGCCACCTCACAGGCTCTCCTATGATGATTGAGACAATGCGGGGAAAGCACTAGAATGTTCTGCTACATTGTAGCTGCTTAATGAAGGTCAAGTCTCTCCCCTGTCCCTGTTCTTCTTACCCCTGCAGAGCAGAAATAACTTTTATTTATTGTCCTGGCTGGGGCCTTACACCTTACCAGAGATTCCCCAGGAGACTGAGTCTGAGGAGACCAGGGGACTGGTTCAAGGGCATGATGGTGGATTCTGAGGTTTTGATAGTTCTTGTGGTCACTGTGAATTTACAGGTTGAGCTGCGACTGTTAAGTATTACTACCCCATACTCGTTACAGATGTTTCACGTGCTTACAATGAAACATTTATTACAAGTACTATTACCTAGTAATTATAACCAATATTCAGAATTAAGTTTCCATAAGTAGGGAAGATAAGTGTGTTGAGCGTCTACCACTCCCTGGGGATAGGTGTTCTATATAATTAATCTCAAGCTTCTCAATAAAACTCAGTGTAACTTCATATCCTACTTTCATCTATAAGGAAACTGGTGCTTGGCGTGGTTTACTGACTCACAAATGGTAAGGGGTTGAGTTTAAATTTGGACTTGGGTCTAACTCCAAACTCATGCTCTTCCCACCATTCCAACTGTCTTTCTTTGAGAGAGTGTTTTGGGGATATGTTCTATACAGATAGATAGCTCCTCACCCCAACGTAGCCTGTATCTACTTGCTCTTCCCCACCAACACTGTCATCTCCCTCTCCTAAACCACAGTAATCTCTCCATGCTTCCTAGCTGGGTTGCACACATCCACTCTTATCTCCCAGTGATCCACTGTCCATTCAGGAGCCTGGGTTATCTTCTAAAGACATCTATCAGATGATGTCACTCCACTGTTAAACACTCAAATGGTTTCCAGAGCACTTTGAACAAAATTCTTATTCTGGCCTTCGAGGCTCTCTATGACCGGGGCTGGTCTCAACACAGCCACACTGGAGCACTCTAACATTCCACATACTCTCCAACCAAGGGCCTTTCCCCAGGTATTCCCTCCGTCCAGAATGTTCTTCGTGGGGCTGGCACCTTCGTATCAACTCAATCCAAACATGACCTCCTAAAGGAGGCCTTCTCTGACTCCTCCACATGTGCTCTAACACATCACCCTACTTGTTCATCGCCTTTGATATTTCACGCTACCTTATTTGTATATTGTCTGCCTCCCCTGTCCTGCTCTACTAAAAAGGAAAACTGTTAGAATAGATTCTCTCTTATTCCCCATGGTATGTAGTGTCTGACGCAGAGGGCAGCAGCATCTGCTGACTACAGAATGAGTCTCGGGCACTTATATTCATCCTCTCAAGCATTTAGTGAAAACATCCATAGTGTCTTGAGCTTCCTTGGGCATTATTAGTGTCCTCGAGTGCAACAAGGACTATGTCCCACGTAATTCTTGATTCTCAGCATCCCACACAGAACCTGTATTCAGGACTCATTAGATTTCTTGAATGAAGAAATGGAGGCCATGCTGTATCATCCTTGTGTCCTCTCTGCCCAGCATACCATTGACATCAAGAAACACATGTTGATATCACGGACTATCAACAATGATGACTTGCTCCCTGATCTGCATGAGCTTATAATTGGTTAGTTAGTGGGAGAAATAAGAGCAAGTACATGACCCTGGCACACAAACTCAACAGGTAGGTTGTTTTGAAGGCACTTCAGAGCAAGGGTACTATCACTCAAGGGGGACCAGATATTCCTCTATGGCTGTCCATTTTAAATTGAGCCTTTAAGGAAACAGAATTAGGATCCTTGGAGAAGAGGGGCATCATGTTAGGCAGACAAACATCATAAACAAAGGCACTGGGTGGAGTGAGCAAGTGTGATGCAGGGGCATGGAAAAGACAGCCCTGCCTGGACAGAGTAGTGTCTGGAAAGAGCAATGGATGATACAAATGTGTACAATCGGCTGTTTGATAAAACCTTTCATTCATATGGTTGAGTAGGTAATACAGGGTGGTCATACTAGACTACCACTAGTAACCCTCGTGCTTGTGTTAAGATTTTACTATTCTGTGTCTATTTCCTTCATTATGCTTTATCAGTGAATTTATTGCACTGAACTTATAATTGTAGAGACTAAATTTTTTCAGCCTGTGGGTCTAGTCACTGAGTGTGGCACCTCACATCCTCACAGCTGCTGTGTAGACAAGGAGCCTGAGGCTTAGAGAGATTAAGAAACTTTTTCAAAGCAAAAGACTTGTTCAACAGTAGACACGATAGTCTCGTCTAGTACTGTCTGTCGACATTAAAGCTCACGTTCCTTCTTATCTACAAGACGAGACAAAACAGTGAGGTAGGAGCGATGAGCTCTCCTGGTGGTTCATGCACAAGTGCTTTAGGGACCTGAAGAAGGGAGAGACTAGCAGAGGCTGACAAAGCCTCCAGGGGGAGATGAGACCAGAGCTGAGCACAATTCTTAACAGATGAGCAGCAACCAGAGAAGCAGAGAGAAAGGACAAAGGGATCAGGAGAGGGAACTACACGGGCTGCTGGCAGCACTTCAGGGGTAAAGGAGGGCAGCCTGGCTGGTGCTGGGATTTCATGTTGGGGAATACAGGATAAGAAAGGGGAAAATGGTGTGGCTGGATCCAAATGCCCAACTCAGAACTCGGGACTTCAGCCTATAGGAAGTGGGAGGATTTTGAATGTAGGACAATAAGGAAAATCTCTGTTTCTGAAAGATGAACGGCCAGAGACAACTATGACAGGAGGCCTGGGAAGAGGACCACCTCTATGATGGGATGGCAGATAGGCAACCATTTCAGAAATTCACGTGATAAGTATCTCTCCTGGTAATTTCAGGGATTAGAAAAGGAAAGTGTGAGACATTTCAAGGATGAACAGGCTTTGATAGATATTTCCAAAGCATCTATGTGCTCACTTCAAGCATAGAATTGATCTCCTCCTACTGTAATTATTTCTGTGTTGGGCTTCTGACCTCTACCTCTTTACAGTCTAGGCCTATACAGGGTCAAGATCAATATCACTGTCTTCCACCTCCACATCTTGTCCCACTGGGAGGTCTTAGTGGGCAATAAAACACATGGAGCTGTCATCTCCTATGATAACAATGTCTTTTTTGGAACCTCCTGAAGGACCTGCCTGAGGCTCTTTGTGAGGAGGTGTCACTCTTTTCAGAACTATGTCCATGGTGGTTTGTGTGGGTTTTTTTTTTCCATCACAGATTTGCTTGTAAGCAGATAATGCACCATGAACATTCCTCCCTATTAATGGAAACCTTTTGGTGTTGAGGTCCATGTTTTCAAACTTTTTAAGGAGCTTGTTGAGGATTGCAAAAGCTCCTGCTAAACCCTTCACTGTGAATTTTCTTGAGGGTTCTTTTTCTTCTCCTGTGGCTTCCTTTTCTCCTGCCTCTTCTTCAGCTATGCTTTCCTGTTCCAGTTCCAACAACCCCTCATTAGTCAGTTCCTCAGGAACCACCTCTAGGAGCTCTTCAATGTCATCCACACCGAGGTTAAAGTTGTTTGCCTTCTCAACCACAGCTCGGTTGAGTTTTGTAACCTCCTCATCCTTGGCAAAGCCTTTGAAGCCGTGGATGAACCTCTTGAGCACCTTCTTCCAGATACCATTCATACACTCTGGTGACATCACTCCAAGCCCAAGCAAGGTTCTTGACACAGTCATAGATGTTGTAATCCTTCCAGAATTGCATTCAGTGTCTTCTCTGTCTTCCTAAGTTGCAGCAACAGCCTGGGAAAAACTCCCCCTCAGGCAATAGGCCTTAAAAGTTGTTATAACAACTTGACCCATTGGTTGGATCAAAGAGGTGGTGTTGAGAGGGAGAAACACCACTTTGATATTGGGATGAAGATCACCAATAAAAGGAGGATGTCCAGGAACATTATCAACTGTAAACAAAATCTTGAAAGGTATGTTATTCTCCACACAGTACTTCTCCATTTTGCTGGCATAGCAATTCAGGAAGGCATCTTGGAAGAGGAGCTGGGTCATCCATGACTTCATACTGGTCCTGTAGTACACTGGCAGTGTGCGTTTACTGACATGCTTGAAGGCCCTGGGGTTCTCACTGTGCCAGATCACAAAGGGCTTCAATTTGTAGCCAGCAACATTGTTCCCGAGCAAGACTGTTAGTCTGTCCTTAAATGCCTTGAAACCGGGCATTGATGTGGCCTCCTATGGCTGAAAGTCTTTCAGGCATCCGTTTCCAGAATAGGGAGGTCTCATTCATGTTGAATATTTGCTCTGGCAAGTAATTTTCCTCCAAAATCAGCTTATCTAGAGTTTCCAAAAATTCTTCAGCTGCTTTCACATCAGCACTTGCAGACTCACCACTCACTTTCACCTTAGGTAACAAATAACAATTCTTGAATTGTTTAAACCACCCAGAGCTGGGAGTAAACTCAATATTGTAGTCAGGTCCAGCCTTTTCTCTTGACATCGCAAACAAACTTTTTGCTTTGGTCGTGATCGTCATGGCACTGAGAGGGATACACTTCGGTGTCTGGTCTTCAATCCAGGTCATTAGAAGCTTCTCCACATCTGATACAGGCCCTTCCCGAATTTGTTTGTCTCGGTGCCTATAATAAAGCAAATTCTTTAACAGCTTCTGACACTTTAGTCTTCAAGATCGTAGCTATGGTGGAACGGGACATGCCTAACTGGTGAGCAATAACCATCAGTGATTTTCTACCTTTGTACTCTATCACTTTTAATCACGTTTCCAGGTCAATCACTCAATGTGGCTTTTCACTGGCAACATTAGCAATGAATTTTGTATGCTTAGAGGCCATGAGGAGTAAAACAACACAATATTTCATCAACCACAAGAGAAAATGATCCAATCAAGAGATGCAGTAAACACAAGATGTATGAGGCTCCTGCTGGCGTACCATGGCATACTGTTTTATGGTAAACTTTTTGAAGTAGAAAGAGTACACTCTAAAATAACAATAAAAAGTATATCATAGTAAATACATAGTAACATAGTCGTTTATTATCATTATCGAGTATTATGTACTGTACACAATTGTGTGTGCTATACTTTTATGTAACTGTCAGTGCAGTAGGTTTGTTGATGGCAGCATCATCACACACATGTGAGTGACGTGTTGCATTACGATGTTACAATGGCTTCAATGTCACTAGGTGACAGGAATTTTTCAGCTCCATTATAATCTTATGGGACCACTGTTGTATATACGTGGTTTATCGTTGACCAAAATGTCACTATGTGGTGCTCCACTTTGAGGAAAAAACAGTCAGCAAACAGACAGCAATTTCAACTTTTCCAACAAAATAGAAACAGACTCAAGACTGCGGTATCTACATCTCCAGGCTACAGGCTTACTCTATGGATGTTTGACTTTCAAGCTCCTACAATAATGAGTCAATTCCTTAAAATAAAAATAAATCTGTGTGTGTGTGTGTGGGGGGCAGGGGTGTGTGTGTGTGTGTGTGTGTGTGTGCGCGCGCGCGCGTGCGTGTGCATATCTCATCTACTGGTTCTGTTTTTCTGGAGAACCCTGACTAACACAGAAGTGTAAGAGGAATTGTCCCTGCTTTCTTAGGACCCAATCTTTCCATTTTCATCTCACAGGGCAGCCTTTCAAACAGCCTCTCCTCTCCTTTATCCATGGATCCCCAGCACCAGGATTTCCATCTTTAGCAAACCTCAAAGACCCACAGTGAGAATTCTCACATGAGAGCCTTAGACATCCATTTCTATCTTGGAGGAAAAGTCTGCCCAATGGCAGAAGGAAAAGAAAATCACTTCTAGTCACTCCCTCTGTGTGAATAAAAGCTGACCTGTATGCTCTTGGAAACTTAATTTCTCTGGGCACCAGTTTTGCCAGCAGGAAAAAATGAGATATTCGACAAACCCATTTTTACCCAATAATTGCTATGTTTCTCTACCACATTTTGAGAAAAACCAGATGGCTAAGTTAAGAGGATTTTAGCCAAAGTTGGAAGTGCAGCCTTCAAATTCAATTCAACATCATGCAAAACAGCATGATTTCAGTAAGAGCCCTGACCAGTATAAAACAGTAATTATAATGGGTAGAGTCCTATGACCCACAGTGAAGGTCACACCCAGGATCAGGATGTGGAAGAACCAGTAAAAGCCAGGTTCTTCTACTTGCAACTTCGTAACTTGGTTTAAAAGACAGTTATTGAACAGATAGGTGAGCTGACACCAAAATGTGGTCTCTGAATATCCAGGTCCCTTTGGAGAGAGTTCAAGGATCCATATGATACCCAAGTTCACGTTCTCGTGGTTAACTTTGTAGAAGGCTGAGTAGCATTATAACTTAATTTCTCATCACTTTAATTCAGGAATATATGTAATAATTTAGCTTTTTTGAGTGTGTTATTTAAAATAAAGTTGAGGGGAAGGATTAACACTCTCACATTCACCAAGGCAGCTGGGGCTCGAACTCCTTGCCCAAAGAGGGGCCGTGAGCTTCCATATCTGTTCTCCCTGGCATTGTGTATCTGTCTCAGGCAATGAATTCTCTACCCAGGGAATCTATAGTTCAAGTCTTCACACCCAGAAAACCTACCTCTTCAGAAGCAGAAGTTTCTCTTTTTATGATGCACAAAGAAAAGTGCATTAATTCCCCCGGCTGACCTTCACAGTCTTGAAGGTGAAGCTGAACAAGCGCAATCACAGCTCTCACATCCTGCAGCCTGTTAAGTCCCAGGTCCTGAGCTCTAGTATCTCATTTAATTCTCACAATAACCCCAAAAGACAGCCATCACTTTTCTCACTTTATAGGATAGGAAACAGACTCAGATTAAATAAATATCCCAGGTTCACAGAGCTAGCAAATGATGGAACAGCATCTTGAATCCTTATCTTTAAGACTCAAAAGTATGTTTTTCCATTATGCTTTGGTGCCTCAAAAACCTTCAGGAAGCCCTCTCTTGCATCAGATCTATACCACTAACAGTGTTTGGGTCACTCTTCCTTATCCTGAGCTGGGGTGAAAAGTTCAGCCATCAATTTCCATAAACTAGGGAAGTACTTGGTTTTGTTTTTAAGTGGCTCTTTTGTTTAACAGTTAATTCACTAGTGCTGTTCCTTTCTTAAAGATACGATTCTACCCTGTGATACCTTAGTTACTCTTGACATCACCTGAAGAGATGCCTAATGATCTTTGTTCAGACTAGAAGTCAGAAACTAAAGTTCTAGTGCAGCTCAGTTTTTGAAAGGGCATAGCAATCTACTTTGCTATAAAAGTAGACTCAAAAATGGTATGAGGTAGGGAATTTCTGATGGGGTGACAAAAATATTTTAAAATTAGATTATGGTGATGGTTGCACAATTCTGTGAAGATATGAAACCATTCAATCGTAGCCTTTAAATCAGTGTCTTTATAGTACACTAGTTGTATCTTAAAGAAGCTTAAAAGAAGGACATGAGAGTTGCTCAAGTTTCAATTATCAGAGGAGAAAATAATTAAGGAACAATATTAATTTCACCATTTCATTTTTCTTCTCTATTTACCTCAAATGTCAATTTGCCTAAACCCTATTATTCAAGTATTAAATAACAGAAGTGATTGCAAACTTCATGTAAACCTTATAAACACCTAGACTGAAAGTAAAATCAGGCGATGGTTACACGCTTTACAAAGAGCTTGGTCACGATCCTCCTCTAAATAAGGTTTATATACACTGAAAACAAATGACAATCAATTCACAAAATTACTTGTTGGAAACCCATTCAGTATTCAGAACAAACACATCTAAAAAATTCCTTCCATTAGGAATATAAAGACTTCTTACCTTGTGACAAGGAACCAAGCAATTTGACTGAAGTCTGGAGAGGGCCTCATATACGTCTTAATATGTGGCATGGCATTGCTGCGGCCAGATGTCTCAGCTGACCATTTACTAGCAACAGGAAAGACACAAATCACTTATTAGAAAAAACAAATTGGTCATAATTCTAATATTAGGAAACTGCATGAAAAGCAAAAATCCTATACTCTAAAACAACAGTGGGTACACAGTTCTCTGTGACATCTTATTAAACTCTGTTCGGATAATGGAATGACACATGGTCATTTTAGAATATAGGCATGTATAAAAAAAAATTTCCACCACTCACAAAAAGCACTATAACCTTCCGGCATACAGCCTTCCTGTCTTTTTTGCCATGAATACATACATACATATATATACATATACCTACACACATATATACATACACACACATGTATCTATTGTTTCTGTTGTGCTTTTAGCTGCATGTATGCACATCTTCTCTCCTAGCTGGACTGTGAGCTCCTTCAAAGCAGGAATCACGCTCCCATAGTGTACTACTGAGGAGAGACTCAGCGAAAGCTTGTTGAATTAAAATACAAAATGAGAAAAATACCAACAGTATGAATATCAAAATGGAATGTTGAAAAGCAAGGGGATAATTCAGAAGGACTTTAATCAGAGGCTGATATTCATAGATGTGTCTGGTTTCTAAGTTTCCAACATTATAGGGCTAAGGTTCCATGGGAAAAAATGACCTATATCATGAGGCAACAATCCTTACTTATGAATATAAGAGGACGGTCTGTGAACAGAATTGAGATTAGGGAGGTCCATCATTAGATTATTAAATTCACTTGCATGAAGCAATAGTGAAAGGAACTCAATATCAAGAAATGTCCTCTGTAAGGAACAACCTCCCCAAAAAAGCATTAAAGAAAGCCTCCTGGATGACACACTGAATTAGAATGAAAGCTACCGAAATGTAATCTGCCTTCGTGTCTTGCTGTCAGGCATAATAACTGCTTGTTGAAGCATGTATGAAACCAGGATCAGCCTAGCAACATGCAGGATGTGCAACTTCTGTAGCTAGAGAAAGACAAAGGACACTCTTTGCACTTGTCCATTTGACCATTTACTGAACTTTTATGACAAGCCAAATACTACCCTGTCTCCTGTGGATTCTACCCTGAGCAAGCATGCAGTCACACAGTGTATGAATGTGTAGACAGAATGATTATATTTTACATATTGGAAACATTAACTAAAATGCTGCTTGTGAAAATTCTAAACTACTCAACATGTTATTTTATTTATCTTTTTCTTTGCATGCCAATATATAAATAGAAACTTCACAGAGATAAATTTTACTCTTTGGTATTAAAAACCTATTCCAAAAAATGTTCAAAACCTTATTTTAAATTATTTCTCTCGTCAACATATGTAGATGGAAAAATATAGCTACATTATGTAAGATTCTCTTTTTAAAAAGTTAGACAAATAAACATTCTTATTCTTAAAGAAGCAAGAGCAGCATTCTAAATCAATTACTTACTGAAAATAGGAATGAAGCCAATTCTGTTTTTCTGCTGTCTGGATGCTATAGGGCAGAGAGCCCCCAGCTTTTAAAAGAAAAATATATTAAAATTATGGCATATAATTTGAGGATCCTTCATTAAGAAGAAAATCTACAGAAAACACTGAGAAGGTAAAAGGAAAAACCAAAACTACTCCACTATCTCACTTTATAGAATAGTTCTTTGAAAGAAAATGTCTATACTTGTACTACGTACGTTATCTCAATAGCTTCCTTTCTTAAGGGTGCATATTAAATAGTAAATGTTTACTATCTGAAAAGAAAAAGGTATTATTTAATCACTCAGGGATGGTAATCTCATGGTTGCCATAAGTTTAGCCACAAACATTTCTGCAGCACAACCAACTGGCCGTAAGGCAATTCTGCTGTAAAAGACAAAATAACTGGTGGATTGACAGTTTTGATTTCATCTGGTAACATGGTTTTCATAATAAAATATGAAAAGTGAACAAAATTAAACCGACTTGACTGCGAAAAATGAAAATACAAAATATTGAATATAAATATTTGAATATTTAAATGTGCGCAGATTCATGGCAATACTGTGCAAAGAACTGACTTTATTTTGTGGATTGTTACCTAAGCACTTTGTCTTCCAACTCTTTCATTCATAATATTATACATTTTTCTTTTTTGCTTGCTGATTCATCTCGTTCAGCGTTGTACTTTTTTTCACTAAAATGTCTTCCTTCATTAACAGAGGCATAAATTTCATGCAAATACCAGGATGCATATTTGTAACCAAATGAAAAGCATTTGCCACCAAATGAAACCAAAACTGTCAATCAACCAGTTATTTTATCTTTTACAGCAAAATTGCCTTCAGTCAATTAATTGTGCAGCAAAAACGTTTGCAGCGAAAACTGCTTGTGGCAAAGACACTTACGGTGAAAATACCAGACAGGAATTAAACATCATTCACAGCAGAGATTTGAAGTGTTAGAAAAACCAGAGAAAGAATCCAGGCCTGTCCTGCCATCCACATGCAGGTGCGACATCCTGAGCCACATTTTGCAAGATGAGGTCTGGAGCACACACCTCTTTATTTCTGCCCAAGACCAGGACACCTGGGCAGGCAGACTAGCCTGAGAATTTTCGTCTGCCTCCCTCGCCTTTTACACTCTGCTACTTCCAAAAGGAATCTGTACTAGCTAAACAGATTCTCACAAATGGAATAGAACAATCACTAAAATAAATTAAAAAGTTCACTAAACAGCTAAGTTTTAAAAAAGGAATTCTAAAAGTCATATTCCTGCAAAGAGAATAAAGATATGCTTCCAAGTGGAAACAATTAGAAGCCAATTTTTGTTCATCTTTGAAAGGAGGAAAGTTCCACTGTAGATTCATCAGTCACTTCCAAAACACAGGCTGGAACGTCTCCATAGTAATCTATATCCAAAGATGGCTTTACATTTCTCCAACTTATCAAACAGGGCATGTTGTATCTCCTACTGCAAATAACTAAAAAACATAGTCAGGGTTTCAGGACTAGTTATAAAACAGCTTTATTGAAAATACCAGGTTCTTCTCCATTAAAAAGTATGCTTTGAAGGGATCTAGTCTATTAGAAATACAAAAAGGAGAAGATAAAAAAAATCACCATGTTCCTGAGTCTCAGTGAAATAATTTTAGCTTTGCCACTAAGAAGCAACAAATGGGCTAATACACTCTAAACCCTACGGAGGTTTTGCTGGCAGAGTCACATCTACTGGGACAAAAATAAATGGACCAAGTTAGTCTAATTCACAGCATTCTGCTTCCAATCATAAACAAACACCCATCAGAATTCCTTTTTTTCAGAGGCATATCTGTTTAGGTTTTGGGATATCACCTCCTGAATGCACTATTTGGGTGGCTGTTGAATTCCAAACAAAAGTTTAGTGCCAGCATTGGTATAGGGAAATAGAGGACAAGGTTGAAAGACGTCTACAAAATAATCCTAGGCATTTACAAATGAAGCCCTTGAGAGAACAGCTCCATCAACTAGGTTATACCAAAGCTTTCATCTTAATATTAAGCCTAACTTCTTAAATATATCTGTGTCTGGGATTCAAACTTGGAAGAACCACACACAGACACAGGCAGGGAGGATGTGGAGAGAGAGATAAGAGAAAGGCATGTTAGTTAGACTTGCTGGAAAAGGCACGGTGCAGTAGGAGAAGCTGGTTTCATTTGGACATCTTCTCTACACAACCAGTCTGTTGGCAGCAGAGGTGAGAACAGCCTTACTGGTGGAAACGAGGAGAATAACAATCACTCAGAGGGTTATCGCGAGGATTCAGTAACAGACCCCAACTGCCCAGCTGCGTGGTGTCATCTTTGGAACACAGCAGCGCTCAATATCACCTATTTTCAAGATCCTTATCCAGTTAGGATAAAATCACCTCCAAATTTCTAACCAGAACTTTTCTCATCTCCACGAGGAAGGCATTCTTATCACTTGTCTAAAAAAGTTGACCAAGGCATTTTATGAAATATACCCAAAAAATACAATTGAGACAGCCTCCCCAACAATTACCTGGATATCCTTCTAAGCTGGTCCGTACGTTTTCCACAGAAGGATAGATCTAAAAACAAGGAAGAAAACAAAAACACTAGGAATGTACCATGTTGAAGAAACTATTTGTTAAAAGGAATGGTAAATTAGTTTTCAAGAAAATGAAAACCTCAATTAAGAATACTTAAAGACTTAGAAAATAGGCTTGAAATTTTAAAAAGTTCCTGTCTTACTGAAAAAACCCTTAACTTGTAGTAATTAAACTACAGGAAGCACACATAATCGAGGAAAAAATTACATTTTGATTAGAATATTTTTTCCTCTGAAATGCCAAATTAAAACTGAATTGAATGCAAAATTAATTATTAATTCAAAGGCCTCTAAATAATTAAAAATGTTTGTAACTCTGCTGGCCATGCTTTATCAAATATTTTTTCCTTGGCTTAACAACCTGAAGGAAGGAAAGGAAAATTGCATCCTCATGCAGGTGAGACATCCTGAGCCATTTCTAGCCTGTGGCTGAAACAGAGCTCTGAACAAATCAGATGCTCCCAGCACCAGATGACATTAAGGTCACTTGATTACAAACGATGATGCTAATGGACTTCTGTTTCCATCCAGAAATCACTGAATGAGACACCTCTCTATTACAAGGAGGACTGATTCTCAATTCTCCTGGACTAGAGAATAAAAATAGGTAACTTGAGGAGGAGGTGCACTCACCAAATGAAAGGGACTGACACTTTTCCCTGGGGTCTTGCTTTCCTTTCCCAATGTCACCAAGCTCTCTTTGAACTCAGAACACAACCATTTTGATTCGTCAGCCCCCATGGAGCCAATGCTTGAAAACTGACCTACTATCGGCCAAGACTCTGCTTTGGGTATGGAGGAGGCATGTTCTTTCAGAAGCTGTGAAAGAATAAAGAGGAATGCTACAGTCACTTAAACATACAAACAGAAATGCTGCAATAATGCGGAACACAGTTTTCTGCCCTTGGAATGCCTAATTAGTAAGGAAATGCTGAAAATACTAGTGATCATTTTCATCTCAGGTAGACATTATTTTCTTCTTTGGGAAGTGTTTTTTAAATAGTAAAAGTATTTTATTTTAATGGAGCAAGTGGACAGGAGTATTCCTCTGCTAGAATTTTTTGATTTGTACTAAAAGCAAAAACATTAAAAAGACCCATTTTAGTAGAAATGTCAGATAAACCACAAACCTGCCATATGAAGTTAGATTTTTTCCTTGAAATCATAATTGTTTAATAGTCATGTGCCACATAATGACGTTTCAGTCAACGACAGACCACATATATGGCGGTGACCCCACAAGGTTAGCAACATATAGCCTAGGTGAGCAGTAGGCCATACCACCTAGGTTGGTGGAAGTACACGCTACCATGTTCGCACAACAAATCACCTGGTGACGTGTTTCTCAGAACATCTCCCCATCACATGACTGTATACCTAAACAACACCCAGAAGGTCAAGCTGCTGTGTATTTGGACTCCTATTGTTTGAAAGAGGTTTAACACGTGGGTACCTGGTAGCTCTGATGCTTTTAAAATGAGAGAAGATATTTACATATAAATGCATACGACCTTAAACACTGCAGAAGACTGGTCTGCACTTCCTGCTTTGTCTGATACTTAATGCAAAGCTGCAGAAACAATTCAGAATATTCAGAAATTTTATCCACTTAAACACGCACTGAATATCTACCTAGAGGCTGGAGATAGCAAGAAAAATAAGCTGTAGTTCCTGCCCCAGTGGAGCCCATATTCTGACTGACGTATTGTTTAGTTTAATAGGCATTATTTCCCTTAACACAGCTTGGGCATTAATATTTATAAACACATATACTAAAAGCCCAAATTGTTCTCACCTTCCACCCTTTGCGCAGCACGGTGTAGGAAACAGAACTGAACTGACATTTACAGGACCCAGTTTCTATTCTGGTGCTCAGCCCCCGATCAGCTACATGACCCTGGACAAGTCCCTGTGCTTCCATTTACATCAGTGAGACCGAAGTCTGATTATCCCCGTCTTCCCCGGGGGGCAGCTGTGACCCAACATGAGCAACAGTGTGAAATGTGGTTTGAAAACTCTGAGGTGCGATTTGACTTTCAGTAAGACTGTGAGCCTACACATGTGCTATTACCCAGCCTGTCCACACCATCAGTCCACAAGCCAGTAACCAGCACTGCTTACGGGACACTCAGCAGCTGCCTTGCTCTCACTGTTTCATTACTCCTTACACGACTCTGTGAGCGAAGTACTATATGATGCCCATTTTGCACACGACAAGAGAGGCAGTCTAAGGAGTAAGCCAAGGTCACGTGACTTGGAAACGACAGGTCAGGATTTGAACCCAGGTGTGGGACTCCCCCTCCAAAGCCATGACTTAGTGTGCTCTACTCCCTCTCTAGGTCAAGACTTGAAGTCTTGCCTGCTTTCAGCTGTGGTCTCATTTCAGAAACAGAAATCAAAATGAAAAAGTTTCATTAACCAAGCAGAATTTTTACATAACATGAATAATTTACAGAAAAAGAGGTAAGGCTTTTAGAAAGCCACTGCAGGGAATTTATGACGCCAACGAACTGTCTCCTAAAGAGGGATGAAGAAAACTGTAATCTTTAACTTACTTGTTGTTTTATTGTGTTAAAGATCTTTCTTTGTTCATTTTCATACCAGCAGCAAATGTCACGTTTGTAATTACGATTCTCTCAAGGGCACTGGTTTAGTAAACAAAGGACATTATAGCTCAGTCGTAGCCTCTACTCAACACTATTTTCTGTTCTTTGTTGAACTTGCATGTTAAAAATCCTGCATATGCTGATCAAAAGCTACAATACTTGTATGAATGAGAAGTCTCTAATTAACTTTATTATAAGAAATAGAAAAACAAAAAGCCCACATGCTTTTGCCATTTAGAACAGTCTACTCTACACCTATACAAGGCATAACAAAAAACTAAAAAGTAATTCCTGAGAACTATAATTAGACAATTTATCAAGGGCCTACTACTTGCCCAGAATGGTGCTAGAGATTTTGTGAAACTGTCATCAAAATATACAATTATAAACGAAAAAGGAGAATATACATTAAATTTTTAAAAAAATGTTAAAATAGTAAAAATTCTGTTACCTTCCTAAGCCTAAAATGTCCCCAGTTGTCTTTTTGACTTCCTTGAAAGCGTCCTGGGGTTGATCCAATGAGGTAAACACTAAAAAGATATGAAAATCCAAGTTATAGAACATAGTGGTATGATTTCTAGACTCAAAAATCACAAAATACACATGAAAACGAATATAATCTAATAGAAATGTACTAAGAGTCAACCCATTTTCTTGGGATGCTTCCTCATAGTAACTGACACTTGAACTCATTTTCAAACACATCCACTAATGGTGGAACACCCACAAGGTGTGAGGTACCAGGAAAAGAACTTACTAATTTTAAAAGTACCCCAGTGAGAGCTTTAGGGTAAGCGGGAAGATTTACTGGCCTCCACTTTAGTGGCTGAGAACCAGGAGATGCAGATAGTGACAGAACCTTCCACTTTTATCACGTCATGAGACAGAGCCAAACATCACTCAGTCTCTTTCCAAGACCCCAGCATTCCAGATCTCATGCAGCTCTCAAGGTATTAACCTACCATACACACCCCAAACCACCAAGGCAATACGTACTTTGTTTCAGAGAGATCATGCTCCTGGATGACATCTATCCACTCCTTGAGAGAAGGAGCGTTATAAGCCATCAAGTAGCTGATGAGATCAGCTTTAAAATGTGTTGTTGATTCTCCAGAGCTGTGGGTTCCATGGACAATTCGTGAGTACAAGGGGCTCAACCATATTCTGAAATGGAAAAAAAAGGACCTTTAACAGTCAGGAATGCAACGGATCACAATGATCTCTCTGTATTGATTACGTACTTACTCTAAGGAAGAGGTGAATTCTCACTACCTATCTTCACGTTAAGTAAAGCGATCCTTATAAAAGATGAAACAAATCTGATTGCACCACTCCAAAGTCTTCCGTCATATTCAGAATATTTTTGAACAACTCCCCATGAGCTTAAGACCCAGTAAGATCTGCCCTCTGCCCAACTCTCCCAACTCAATCTCTCCACGCTCCCTCTCATTCACTCACCGCACCTTCCTTATTCCTCTTCTTACCCCCGCACCTCTATACTGCCTTTGAAGACTTGATGACAACAGTTAAGAGTTCCACTCCTGGGGCTGGCCCGGTGGCGCAGTGGTTAAGTTCGCACATTCCGCTTTGGTGGCCTGCGGTTCGCCAGTTCAGATCCCGGGTGCAGACATGGCGCCGCTTGGCAAGCCATGCTGTGGTAGGCATCCCACATATAAAGTAGAGGAAGATGGGCATGCATGTTAACTCGGCCAGTCTTCCTCAGCAAAAAGAGGAGGATTGGAAGCAGATGTTAGCTCAGGGCTAATCTTCCTCAAAGAAAAAAAAGAGTTCCACTCCTAATTGTTATTGTAAGTCCACGCCACCTGTAGTAACCCAAGCAAGATTTTGCCCACCAACGTAGCTCTTTAGACAAATGCAAAATAAGTTATCTAGACTAAGAAAAATGTAAGCACAATCTAATTTCAACTAACTCGTTTTCATGATGTATATCCTATAGCAGTGTGAGATATTTTCATATCCTACACTTTTTTGGTGTCTAGGATGACTACATACCACATTTAATGATATTACATTAACACTAACTTCAGACTACAAATAATTCAGTAAAAACAAATTAAAGACATCTTTCATTTCTTCAATTCTTTTTCCCCAAAGGGAAACAATGCACTTTGCTAAAACTTCTATATTATACCCACAAATGGAAAACAATCATATCTAAACCCAATCCTTCTATGAAGTGATCCATTACATCCATTAACTGATTGTGGATTACAAAAAAAGTATGGCTTCAAACCTCTTGTGCTCCGTTTCTTCAACTGCAAAAACCAGGTTATAACAGCCCTGCCTCATAGGACTGTCACAAAGACACACACGAGGCAATGAACAGTGTCCAACTTAAAGAAGTGCTCAGCAGGTATTAGCTGTTACTGCCTTTTTCTCCATCTGCAGCTACTTCCACTACAGTTCTGCCATGAAGTCAAAAGAGAAATTGCCCAATTCCTCTTTCAGTTGGCGGCCCTCAAAGAAGATGGGCAAGATGCAGGCCATCAGGGTAGGAAGAATCCAGAACCATAAGGATCCTGGCTGTGCACCTTCTGAACTCTGTACATGTTTCCAGTAGGGTGGCATGTCACAATTTCTCTTCCCTCATTGAGAAGACCCCTCACACAAAAGGGTAACATATATGACAAGGATTGGAGCCCAGACTCTGGACTTGGAGCTGCTTTTATCTGGCTCTGTCATTTTGGGCCAGCCTAACAACTTCTCCAGGCCTCTTCTCTCTATGTAAAATGACCACACTGGGCTAGATGGATGTGTAAGGTCTCTCCACGTAATAGCAAATTGAAGCCCACAGGCTGAGCGAGGCTCCTCCCACCTTAGAGATTCACTCACGGGAGTGGTTCTGGATGAGGAACCTGACAGCTGATGACTTTCTAAACAAGCATACTGAGATGTCAGGCGTTTTTAACACTTCACAAAATAAGATGAGAAAATTATTATTGTGGGCCAAATAATTTTAAAAGTGATAAATTAATAGGTGGGCCAAGAAGCAGCTGAAAAGGGAGGCTGGAACACTTGTATAGCAGAAAAGAAGTAGCAGAGCCATGATAAACCAATTATGAAGGAAGATTACACAAAAGGACTGCTTTTATTCACTTTTTAAAAATTACAACCTACAAAATGAAACTGCAAAGTATCAGAGAGAGAAGAATCTAGACTAACAGTGAGATAATAGTACCCTACACAGGAGTGGCTGAGGCAGGGAAGTTGGAGAGATTTCATACCCTTAGAACTTTTTGAGTTTTGAACCACATGACATTATTATTTTTTTGTTTGTTTGTTTCAATGAGCTTTTTATTTTTTGGTGAGGAAGACAGGCCCTGAGCTAACATATGTGCCAATCTTCCTCTACTTTGTATGTGGGATGCTGCCACAGAATGGCTTGACGAGCGGTGTGAAGGTCCATGCCTGGGATCCGAATCTGTGAACCCCAGGCCGCCAAAGGGGAGCACATGAACTTAACTACTATGCCACCGGCTGGCCTCATGAAAAATTTAAAAAAAAATTTTTTTAATAAAGGAAAATAATTAACACCCAAGCCCTCACCCTTAATCCCTTGCAAGACGGCAGCCAGCCAGAGAAGCCTGAGGAAGCACAACTGATGCCCATAGACTCAAGCTTCACACTCTAGAAGGAGCTGGAGGCCATGGCTGGGATTCTTCCAGCTGCTTAAGACTGAGTGCCATCTTGATAAATCCCTTCAGTTTCACTAATTACGGTTTTCCTAAGAACAGCTACATTAATCTCATTTCCCTTTTTGATGGGGTTACATATGAGTCATGAGTGCCCAAAGCCAGCCCTGTAGCCTAGAAGCTCTAGGGGTGGCAACAGGGTAGTTAACCGGAAACTCAGTGGATCAGGAACCCTGTGGCCGTCGCCTCCACCCTGAACCAGTCGGGATTACACTGCATTTTGAGAAGCATATTTTAAGGGGGACACTCAAAAACTAGAACAAATTTGCAGGAAAACTATCAGGCAGTGGGGATAGGAGCTCAAAGCCACCTGCCACAGTGGGGAAGGGAAGTGAGGAGAGAAAGATGTCAGGTGAGGGAAAAGACCGTCTTTCAAACTGGAAGGGCCGTCTTAAGGAAGACAGGTAACTCTTGTTCTGCACGGCAGACTCAGGTCAAGGCAGCCCAGTGGATGAAAGCTGGAAGGGTCTGTACTTTAGCTCAACCTGAGGAGTGACTTGGGCTCAGTCAGAGCCAACACACCCCAAATTAAGGGTTCCAGCCCAGCCCGGGCAATAATATGGGGCAAGGTAAAGCAGGGGAGGATGAGCGTGGAACATACTCGAACCCTGAAAAGGTGAGTTTCTTCTGACACAAGAGGCTGCTAACCAGCTCCTCTCTTGGGAAGGCAGAGATGTACAAACTGGCTTAAGAGAAAGGCAAATTGAACCCCCCCTTAAAAAAAAGGGATCTAAAACTAGGTTTAGCATATGAACACGAAGGACAAGCGGTTAGTAATTTAAAAAGAACATGAAAAACCTTCATATTCAACTCTTCTCTTGGAGATTCACAACTATATGGACATATTACAGGCTCTAAAAAGACACCAGTTTAGATTTATTTTATGGGCATATAAACTGATTGGGAGTAAGGGGGCGTTTTCAGTGTACAAGTGGGTGCAGGGGTAAGTGGGGACCAAGAGAGCTATCTGGTGCATCTTACTAGAAAAGTAACGGGTTCAGATCTTTCATTGTGCATCCTCTTTCCTGCCTCAGATCCTTTGCACAAGCTGTTCCTATTTGCCTGTAGTGTGTATGTAGGATCCCATTTTTGTAAAAACCAGGAAAAAATGACTGTGTGTAAATATTTACCTATGTTTACAAGTATAATAGAGACCGTTGTAGATAATTATGTACTAAACTGTTAATACTGGTTACTTCAAGAGAGTGGGATGGGGGGCGGTAGTAAAAGAATACTATCACTTTTTCTGCATGTCTCTTTTCTACGCCACGTATGTGGTTTTTTTACAATTAAAAAAATAGAAAAAAAAGAATATAGCAAATGTTCTGGTTTTTGACCTTTCTGAGTACACTCAGCCGCTGCCATGAAGTGAACAGAACTCTACAAACCCTTGTGTTTTCTGGTGCCAGTCAGCGTGGAGGAGGTTGGAGGTGTGTATGACAACCCGGAGGCCTTCTTCATATAGCAGTAGCATCATTTTCCTTTAAAAATAGAAAAGCGACCAAAAGGGATTAATGGTACTTTCAAAATATGTAATACCTTTCTAATGCAAATGTAGCAGCTAAAGGAATTCTTTAGACTCTACTACTACTCCAATTTTCAACATTTACAATCTTCCTTTCTTGTACACATTACTGTCATCAGAGTCTGCTTAAGTGATAGAAAACCACCTTCCAAAACGATCAGAGTATTTGGTAGTAAATGAACTTTGGCTCTGTCCAGACCACATGGCCAGTACCAACCCCTACCCCAGCTCTGCCTCCAGTCTGGCCCCTTATCTCTTCAGCATCATCTGTTACTATCAGGGACAACGAGAACCTTCTTGTCCAGTGTTTTTCACAGTATGGTCACAACTTCTTGCTGTGCTGCGAACAGCATTTTAAAAAAAATTGCAATAGCATAAATTAGAAACTCAAGAGTAAATTGCATGTTGGTTCATGAAGCTTTTGTTTCAGCACCTAAGTATGGATGTGTGTAGTAGACTGAAATGTAACATGTATTTCTTACTGTGGGTTGCAGTTTTAAAAAGTTTGAAAGATGCTTCATTTTCCCAAGACTGATCTTTTTTCATACTCCGCAGATACACTTGCCACTAGTGAGTATCTGGGCTTAAGGTAAGTCTTCTCTTTTCTCCTCCCTTCACTCAAATCACACCTAGTTGAGTCCTCCCTTTCCCACTGGCCTTCATGAGACCTCCAGTCATCAGACCTATTTCTCTTATTTTAATTCCAGCGAGGGACTAGGATATAAATAAGAGACTTCCATTTGAAGCTCCTGCCTTCATCATTTAGAAGCCATAAGACCCTAGGTAAGTCATTGAATGCCCCTAAATCATTCAGTGTGCCTCAGCCTTGATTTTTCACGTAACGGGAAGGATCAGACCCTTCTTTCCTTCCTAGGGTTTCTGTGAGAATGAACTGCAACACGCATGTTGTTAAACACAGTTAAAGCACTCTCCCTCTCCCATTACGCCTTCAACGCCCTGTTTCATTTTGTAATCTGCTATTGGAAGACTTTTGCCCTCCTGATGGTTTTCTAATTATTTTAGGAATCTAAGTTCTCTTCCCCCAACTAGAGATTCACTCCTCAAGGCAGTGACTCTGCCGTGACTTTCTGTTTTCATTGAGGCCAAAATGCTACTTAATGCTTACAGATGTAACTCAGTAGAGAAAAAATGAACCACTAGTTCTCTCCAAAATCCTACAACATGAATACTATTTGGACAGGATGGGGTCAGCATAAAAAGATGCGGAAAAAGAATATAAGAGAATTAAGCGAGACTTTGGCAAAGAGTAAATTAATGCAAAGCTGGAGAAACGACAGCTGTTGGGCCAATCTTCTTTCCATTTATGAAATGCACTCCCTCAAATCTAGGAAAATTTGCACACACAGTTGCCAAATTAGCAGCTGATTGTTATTAAGAATAAGCCAGTTATGAATTCATGATATAAACTTTACAAATATTTCCATTAATCAAAGCATCAATTATCAGGAAAACCATGTACTAATGTCATTGAATCCTGTCAAACAGAATTGTGAACTAACCTACGGGGAGTCATCATCATCTTTTCATAGACAAAACGGCATGTGCCAATAAGGTCACAGTTAAAAATGGATAACAACTGGTAAGAAATGAGGTCTCCCTTAAGGAACGATGACCTGCCTATTATCGATTAAGCCGTGGGGGCAGCATAAAAGGACACTTCCCAAGTTTGAAGCTATTCCTGCAAAGGGGGAAAGAAAAGTAACGTCCACAGAGCATCTAGTGCCAGGCAGCATTCTAGAAGCTCCACAGAACACTAGCACGCGAAACCCCACTCGATCCAGAGGCAGCATTATCATTCCCACTTTACGACTGCGGCATCTGTGGCTGGGAGAGGTAAAGGGAATCATCCAGCCTCCGGAAGGAGGCAGAGGAAGAGCTTGTTTGGATCATACGCGCTGGGATCCTCGTCACACTGTGCACGGCTCCGCAGGGCTGGACACGGTGGCGCACATTTCACACTACTGGGTTGGAGTGGGCAAGGCAGGGGACGATGTGGTCTAGGCGAGAAAGAGGACTATACCGTGTGTGGTAGGAGGTCTGGCTACAGATGGAGGGCGAGAGCGGCATGCCCCGCCCATCCTGAGGTTTGCTCCCAGTTAGTCGCATTGGCTCCCAGTTAGATGGGCACATTCGACATTCAGCTGCTTTCCCTCCCTTCCCGAAGTGGATTCATAGGGCTGTCAGAGGAAACTCCCAGCTCTGGGGGACACGAAAACCTTCAGAATTCTAAAGCACTGCATGGTAAACCCTGGGATTGCATGGCATCCTACAGAAACATGGATAAAGCATGTTTGGTGTACCTAACAGGACTACAAGCTTCTGGAGGATGGGGGCTGCATCTGGTCATGTCCAGACGCTCTGTACACAGCACACGGTAGACACCCACGTGCTATAATGAATGCAGTCTCGAAGACTACTTCACATCCACTGTGGCCGCTCCACCTGGTCAAGCTGGGGAGGCGATTTACACCCCATCGCCACAAGCTGGAAGGTTTTCTCCTTTTCTAATTCACATGTTTTTCTTGCCTCTCTCACCAAGAGACTAAAAGCTGCAAGAAAACTATTAAGTCTCAAAAACACTACACATACTCTGTGCTTGGTAAAGCTTCCATTATAATTACTTCCCCTGGCATTTACAACTCCCAGAGAAGAACTCTGTTGGGCATAACCTGTAAAGGGTGTACGGTGGGGGGAAAAGGAGGAATGGACTTGCAAAGTGTGTGTATGTGTGTGGGTGGAGGCTGGACCAAAGGAAACAATGTGTTCATTTTACCAGCGAGCAAACAAAAGTAAGTTAAAAAACTTAAAATAAACAGGTTGTAGTCCTGTCTCCAACACTGGCCTGAGGAAAACTGCTTATCTACTTGGGGCATCTGATCCATAAAATAAAAAGGAAGGACCAAATAATTTTTTGAAGAACACTGAAAAAAGGAGAGCCCCTCTAGGCTCAATCAAATGTCACTGTCCTAGATCCTGGCCAGACCCAGCACTCTCAGTCCCTCCTGGGACAAAGGTGCAGGCTCTCCAGTGTGCTAGCACTTGAGTGCAGTGTGACTATGCCCATGAAATGCTGAGTGCTGGCACAGAATGTGTGAGCAGCACAGGAACTGGCCCTGGTGGTCTAGGAAATCATACCCAGAACCCAAACGGGTGACGGGGTTTGCTCAATGTATTTTAGAATGGGGAAGGAACTTATGCAAGGGTTTCAACTAAGGGTGGGGACAAGGATTCATCTGAGGTTACACATTACTGGCAGAATGTCTACCCCTGACAGGCTGACTGCTGCTGCCCACCAGTGTCTCCTGTGATGCAGCAAGGGGAGCCTAAGATGCTGAGCTGCCTGATTCAATGCCACTTTGTATCTTCTGCTGAAATTAGCAACCTGTGAGCTCAGTGCTACTTGAATAATTTATACCTGAGCCGGGCGCTTGAGTTCACTGTTAATCTTCAAACTCTGTCCTTGATTAGACTGAAGCTACCAATTAGGGATGGTTGGCAAATGCTGCAACCAGTACTCAAGAGCATCTAAGACCAGATAACATGTTGTTGATAGGTATTCTTTTATGAAATGGCTCAACTCTTCCACTCTGGTTCCATTTTAAAACAGATTGGCAAGATATAGTTTTAAGCGTACAAAGAGAAAGATGAATGGTATGTCCTCATGTCAGGTCACCATCATATCAGGAAAACAGCAGTCACAACAAGACTTGGGACAAGCACTCCCTCCTACGAGATTCCTTTTTGCCCTAGAGACAGATACCTGAGGATCATGCCAGAAGCAAGCTACCTGCTTCCACTACTGGTCTAGAAGAAAGATGAGGCTCTGTCACATTCTTCTGACAAATCCTTTCTAGAGAATGTGATCTATAAAAATACTGAAATAGGGACAACCACGTCTTATTCTTTTTCTCATTTATAGAACCGAGTGTGTAAAAGGGTTTTGTAAAATTAACCTAAAATGGGAGTCAGGATGACAAGTGGGTGCACGTGTCACGTAGGAAGTATATAACAGAAAAGTTTTTCCTGTCTGTGGTTTGCAATGTCTCAGAAAGTTATTCTCAAAGAGAACTTTCTAAGATGTCTTGAACAGGAACAGGTATCAGCCTGTCAAGTTAACAACTTTCTGTAAAATAGTTTTGCTTTTAATCACATCCTAGAGCTAACGTAACAATATTCTATTTGATGCAACTCAGAATCTTATAAAGATCACAAGACTTTCTTTAAAGTAGTAGAATCCACAGGCATGTGACCAGTGCACATACAGTCATTGGTAACCATGGACCACACAACCACAATCTATTCCTAAATTGGCTATAAGGAATGTCCTAAACAGAAAGCAGAAACCATGTCACAGATTCAGACTTGCAGACTGAGAGCCAGAATCCCAGTGCTTTGTCTTAAGGCTGTTAGAAATCAGCTCCACGTCCTCTTCTTCCTTACTGATAGCTTCCCCGCCCCCAGCAAAATCATCACACACAAGTTCCTCTTCTCCTTTTTGAATAGTGTCCCTTGATGTAGTGAAATCATACCATCCCCCATTTCATAAAAATTGCTTACGTGTGGTGTGTTCCAAATGCAATATCCAACTTCGCCTAGGATAAAAAAGAAGTCAAGTAACTTATTTTAAAAAACTCAATATCCCTATCTATTGGAAAGGCAATTTAAAAAGGTACAAGTCAACTTTTAAAAAAACTGTTTCTACTGCCCTCTAGTGGACAAGCCCTTGATTGACAAGACAGCTTTTATAGTAGCATCCAGTGAGGCTCATTTTTAAAAACTTACCCAGAACGATTCAATACAAACTGCATTTTTAAATACAGTAATTAGAAGCAGAGAAGCCTAATTTCTTTAGTTTTCAAAAAGAACTAATAAAAACAAATGAGATTTATGCAAAGTTTTAAAATTAGATATTTCGCTTATACGGAAATTAATATATGCAAAAAGTTTTCAGAGCTTATTTAAAAGAAACATTGAACGTGGTGGCAGTGTAAAGACATATTATGATGTTAAAACAGAAGTTTTATTATGTAGATAACATAGCAAGTGCTGAAAACAAAGAAGATAACATATTAAATCCACTTTTGTGTTACAAAATGATACCTTTACAAACGAATAGGGGGTGGGTGGAAAAGGAAAACATTTTATCTAACATCAGTATAGCAAGACCTTGGTTAAGCAGAATATGCCTTAAGATGTAGGCTATGAAAGAGTTAAAATAAATCCTATCTTCATAATTTCGCATGACTTGGGAAAATATTTAAATCTCTATAATTCATCTTTCTCCTCTTTAAAATGAGGGTACTGTTAGGGGATTCAGAGAGTTGGTAGGAGTAAACGAGCAAAAGCATATGAAGTGCTTAGGAAAGGGAGCCTGCACGGGGTGAACACTCCGCAAACAGAAGCAAGTACTGCGACCCCCTTCCCCAACCACATGACAGACAGGTGGGTCTGTTTGCTGGAGGTGGTAACGGGCAACTCGCATACGAAGGTGAGTATGACACAGTCCATCCTGGGGATGCTCAAGAACAGCTGGCCCAGTGCCCCACACTCTTAAACTCAGTGTTTGGGGATGCTCACAGATGAGCATGCACTTGCGTGGCCTGGCCACAGAAGAGGGAGCAGGCAACTGTATTTCATGTCTTCAGAATTACAAAATTAGAATGAAGACTGCTGCTGTAAATTGATATGAGCTCAGAAAAAGCAACGGTCAAGAGACTTGGCTTTTGAGTTTAGTTTTGCTACAAGCTGTGTGCTTTGGGGCAAGTCTAAGCACAAAAACAAGGATGATAATAACTTCAACAAATATTTAATGGGTGTTTTTTGGGCAAATGCACCAAATCCTTTGCACAACACCCTATGAAGACCAGTATTAGCAATCTGTTTTAAAGACGAAGAAATTAGGCTTACAGAGGTTAAGCGATGGGCCCAGAATGACACAGCTAGTAGGTGGAGAGTTGGGACAGAACCTTGACCATGAGAAGGCTTTGGGCCCCACGTGCAAAATGGGAGAGGAGTCAGCATCCAGATTCTTTGACTGATGTACCTCAGCTTAATCAAATGACACTATGTTGTTAAAGTCAAGACATCCTCTTACAGACAAGATATAAAGGTATCTCAATAGGTTAGGATGGGGCCACAATCCTGCACCTCAGACTAGGTTTGGGAGCTTCTCAACAACTCCTGGCACAAGGTTTGGAAGACAGTGGCTCATTACGCCCTCTAGCAGCCGGCCTGGAGCACACCAGCAGGCATGCCACAAGCTATCCTCAACTTTTCAGAACAGGTAGTTGCTATTTGAAAAAAGACTTTCTATTTCCAAGGATTTAACCACAAGTTTTCGGGATTCCTGTGTTATTTGATTTTCTGTCCACTATTAGCCTGATGAGAGCTATCCTACTGCAGTTTAACCTCTCCTGTTTTGGAAAAAATGCAAAACAATGGGATAGGCAACTGCTAAACAAAGGGATGTCTGTGTAGAAGGTGAGCCAGAAACATGTTGAGAAAAGGAGTGTTTCACAATTCCAGCTACATAAAGTGCGGCGGTTAAATCACAGTGCTGAAACCCAGGTTTCGAGAGGCACATTGACTAAGTAGATGCAACCAGGAGTACGAGCAGGCTGGGGAAAGACAGGGAATCCATGTTACACCAAACACAACTGAAGAAAGTGAGGGACATCGAGGACGTCAAGTATAAGACTCACTGACACGTGCAAGAATTATTCCACGTGGCTCCAGAGGGGGAAAAATAGGACCAATGTGTAGAAGTTACAGGGAAGAAGGCTGTGGCAGTTAAATTTAGGTGTCAACTTGGCTACAGAATAGTATCCAGATATTTGGTCGAAGTTGCTGTGAAGGTATTTTTTAAGTGAGATTAACATTTAAATCAGCAGACTTTGAGTAAAGCAGATTACCCTCCCTAATGTAGGTGGGCCTCATCCAATCAGTGGAGAGCCTTAAGTTAAAAAAGACCAACTCCCTCCAGAAAGAGGGAATTCAGTCTCCAGACTGCCTCTGGACTCAGACTGCAGCACCTTCCCTGGGTCTCCAGCCTGCTGGCCTGCTCTGTGGATTTTGGACTCGCCAGCCTCCACAACCATGAGTCAATTTGTTTAAAACACATCTCCCTCTTTACATACACACACATCCTATTGATTGTTTCTCTGGAGAACCCTGACTAATATAGAGATATCAGGTCACCATAAAGAAAAATCTTTCTAACCACAAGGGCCACAAATAGGGTGGGCTATCTCAAGGAGTATTTAAGCCAAGGTCAGAGAAATATCCATTGGTGATGTGGAGAGAGGATTTCTGCACTAGGCAGGTGACACACTAAATGCCTAAATTGCCTTCCAACTCTCAGATCAAGCCTGATCTCAAAGGGCAATAAGGAGCTTACCTGGCAGAGGGAAATGTTTTCATAAGGCTTTGCCTGGGCATGTAAGTGGGCCTTAGCTTCCCGTTTATCACCATGCACAAGCAGGATCGGTGTCTTCCTAAAAAGAAATCAGAAGTATTTAAAATACATTATTCATAAAGCTGGACTCCTGCCTAGTGAAGGAATGCTAGCTGTCTTACCACCCGACAGGGGTTTCAGGCCTTTGTGGTGACTGATAGAGAGCTAACACAGAGCAGTGACCAGTTAATCTTCACTAACCAGTTACCTGTATAATGGGGTTATGCGGCCTACTCCTGAAGCTCTGCCGTGACCCTAAGGAGTTGTGACTCAAAGTCCTTGTGTCCCAAAGTCTTCTTAGGTCCAAAAGGGGCACAGAGTTAGCTCTGTGTTAATATGTTTACATTCCAATAGATTAAAAGATATACAATTACTCTTGTACAGTTTTATGCTCTTTTCTTTCCCTACTTTTGGGACAAGAAATGGGTCATTTCCTTACTACATCTGCATTAGATGCGGGGTTGGTGAGCTGAGAAGTCAAAAGATTTCTTGGACTCTCAAGGTCTGGCAGTAGTGCTCTTTTATTCAGAGAATAGCCTGGGGACAGGACCCATGGGCAGTGAAGAGCTGCAAGCATGGGGACAGGACCCATGGGCAGTGACGAGCTGCAATGTGTTGAGGGTTAGAACTAAATTTATAAGGCATAGGTATGTGAGTTATTTCTTTAGAAGACAAATGAAAGATCATGAAAAAAATTGTTAAAATGGTATCAGTGCAGGTGGGGTCTGGTTATTGGGTGATCCTATAACTTTAGATAAGAATCAGATTGGATTAAGTCAGGACTCCTATGCTCCCCCCCCCCCCCCCCCCCCACGATCTAGATCAGTACATAGGGCAGGACGCCTTGGGCTTCTCCCTGGGGCAGCCTTGATCCTCACCACATTCACCAGGCTCCTGCTGTGGACTAGGTAGACTAAACCCCAGGAAACAAAGTGAACAGGCCCAGGCCCACAGCTCACTAATACATGGTTATATTTCAATGAAATAGAGCCCAAGGTACACTGAAAATGCTATATTTTTGAATTCCAAAAGGACAACATAGAAACATTCTTCAGGAATAGATTAAAAAGGCTTTTAAGGTAATCATGGTCTTTCCCAGTTAATTCAAAGTGAAGTAATCCTTAGAAATCAATATATCTTTATAAGCTCTTCCAGCAAAACAAAAATTGGATTTTTCTCCAACAAGCAATCAAGCAAGATGAACAATTGTAGTCATTTCCACATTTATCAATCATACTGCAAAATGATTCTCTACCATACACGAAGGAAGAAAACAACTAAAAAAAGAAACTACAGAAAATGCACTTCCAGTACTAAAGCCTAAACACCTAATGCTCGATAGCTTTATTCTAACAGCTTAGGTAAAATAAAAGGAAGAAACATATCTTCCCAATTTTTTTCTATTTGGAAAAAATTTTCTATTTTACAACTAGAAAAACAGTACACAGAATAATGCAAGAGACATTCACACATCTATTACCTATAGACAAGTAGTGTTACCAGATCATGAAGTCTTTTTAAAAAATAAAAGATTAAACATTACTGATAGAAGTAGAAGTCCTCATTAATTACGTCAAATCTATTGGTTCTATAAACTATCACAAAAAGGCAGTGTAATGGTTAATTTTGTGTCAACTTGACTGGGCCAAGGGGAGTTGAGATAAAATCTTATCTGTGGGTGTGTCCAGATGAGATTAGCACTTGAATTGGTGGACTCAGTGAAGTGGAAGTCCCTCCCCAATGTGGGTGGTCATCATCCAATAGCTGAGGGTCTGAACAGAACATACCCTCTCTTCCTGCCTGAGCCAATTACTCATAATAAATCTTTCTCCCTCTGTCTCTATATCTCCTATTGGTTGTTTCTCTGGAGAACCTAATGCAGGCAGTGTGTCAATGACAACATAAGAGGTATACACCCCTATGATCTGAATTTTTCTATATACGAATTCTGGATGCTACCTTAACTTACTTTAGGTCATTCCTCATCTTTAACAATGCTCTTGATGGCTTTCCTAGGATGTATTCAGAAATAAGGGGGTGGTGGGAGAGGGAGCCGCCTATAGTCCCTTGACTAGAATTACTGAGAGCCTAGTGTACTGGCTTGCTGGGGCTGCCATAACAAAGGACCACAAACTGCGTGGCCTAAACAACAGAAACATATTGTCTCACAATTCTGGAGGCTGGAAGTTTAAGATCAAGGTGTCAGAAGGGTGGGTTCCTTCTGAGGACTGTGAGGGAAGGAGCTTCCAGGCATCTCTCCCAGGTTCTGGCAGGCTCAGGTGCTCCTTGACTTGTAGATGGTGCCCTCCCCATGTCTTCATTGTGTGTCTGTGTCCAAATTTCCCCTCCTTGTAAGGACACCTGTCATATTAGAATTAGGACCCACCCCAATGACCTCATTTTAACTTGATTCCCTCTGTAAAAACCCTGTCTCCAAACAAGGGCACATTCTGAAAGACTAGGGGTTAGGACTTCAACAGATCTCTTTTAGGGTAGGAAAATTCAACCCATAACAGATACTAAAGGAACTGTAGTCTATACTTTGCCAACACTCCAAAGGAGTGGCAATTTGATTTCAAGGTCTTTGAGAAGCAAAGGGATGAAGAACAAAAAGTGCCAATGCAAATCCCAGGGGCACTTACTGCCCGGAGGAGGCCGTGACCAAGACTGCTTATTGCCTCCCGATATCCATTTTTCCTTTCTTCTTTCCTAACAGAACTGATCTTATTCAGGACAAGGTGTGCTCAGCTAACAGACTCCATTTGCAGCCTCTTTTAGAGCTGGCTATCGTCTCGTGTGACTGAGTTCCACTCAATGAAACAGAAGCAGGTGTTACGTGGGACTCTAGGAAGGCTGCTGAGAGGAGGCACAGCTGGGACATGACCCTTTCGCTGTCCTCCTTTCTCCTTCCTGCCACCTGGAACAGACCAGTGACCTGGAGCTCTGAGGACTGAGGTCACACACCAGGATGGTGGGACAGAAAGAAGGGGTGGGTAAGTCTCTGAGAAGCATGGCAGCCCCTAATCCAGACCACAAATATCCACCATCTGGACTTCTTAGGCTGGAGAAATTATTTTCTCCCCTGTTTAAGCCACTATTATTTTGAGTTCTCTGTTACATGCAGCTAAAACTAATCCTGTGTATTACAGGTCAAATACAAGCCCTTGAATGCCAAAGCCACTTGGGAAATTTCAACAGCATTCTATCTACGCTATGAATGTCTTCACCATCTGATCCCTAAACACATCAAGGACTTTTGAGGACCCTGACTCCTTCTTTCTGTGTATTCCTCCATCTTACTTGCTGTTATGGGTTCTGCCACATCTATGTGTTGGAAATAGGATGGGTGGCATGTCACTGTGTGGTGCTATCTTTATGTGGTCTGCACTGCCTAACATGCGACTGAGCAGCTGCAACACTCAGCCAGAAAACCCATCACTTTCATAACCTGGAGAAGAGAGGGCTCTACGACCCCCCTTATTCCAACTCCTAAACCACAGGGAGAATCATTTGAGAGAGAGATTCTCAAAAAAGAACAGCACTGACGTGTTAAGTGCAGTGTGGCATGTTTACAGGTCTAGAAAGTGTGTGGCAATGATCTTTTCCTTCACATTAATATTGGATGTGAAGTTCTTTTATTTGGGTTGGAATTTGTCCTCATCTACTCCTGGACAGATCAACAGAGGAAAACGCTAAAATCTGTATAAGAATTGCACAGGATTAGTTAGAATGGATCAAAAAATGCTGTTTTCCCAATATAACAATGTTTGTAAGATTTCAATGGCTTCAAAAGAAATAGTCAAAAAGATGAACAGCAATTGTCTGAGAAACACAAATCTTGTGTTTTAAAGCTCCTTTGCAGCTATGATATGATATCATCCATCAGTCTGTGGTACTCACCTGAATTCCGGTGGATACTGTTTTACAAGCCAGTCGACGTCAAAGCAGTAGTTAAACTAGATGGGGGGAGAAAGAACTAAGTCATGAGTACTTTAGCCAAGTAGTCTACACGGAGAACTGTTTCTTATTAAACTGAAAGAAACTCTAAAATAATGATGAACTACATATTTTATTTATAAACCTGGACAGTTACGCTACAACACTCATAAACAAACCTAAAGTGCATCTTGAAGGGAATACACGGTTCAAGGAATCCAAATCAATGGAGGAGTGCACGAGAAAACAGGAAATTATCTCTGCATGCTTTGGCAGCACTTGTATTTGTTATTTCTAAGAGCTTGCTGATTCATTTAAATAGAAGGGCTTATGAATTTATCCCTTTTTCCCCAGGTGATTATAACAAGGACTTTTAAAAAAGAACATTTCCTTTCAGCCTAACTTATGAGCTAGCTTTGTAAACAGGTGTCTGGGAATGTACATTCACTTGGCTTACAACAATTACATCTTGACCACAAGGTCTGCACTGGATCACCCATGGGGGCTCCTCCTCAAGCCTGGGTAAGCCTTGACCCTCCTCCTGGACACAGTAGTCAATCTAGCTAAGAGAGCACATACAAACTGACCCCATGTTCCATCTGGAGACCAGAATTCCTGTGGCCATGATGAACGAGCAAGGACGTGACTTTTTTTCTGATTGTTTACTTGAGAGCCTAGAGCATTAATGTGATTTATCAACACAAAGGGACCGGTTCTATCAGGCAGGGGCAACCAAACATGCAGAAGTATCCATAACTTTTACTCACTTGTTTTTGGTAGGTATAAGAAATTTCTTATCTATTTTTCTAAATCAAATCAAACTTGACTTATCCTTTACTTCTCTATCCACACCTCCTGAGGAGTTGTGCCAGAGTCCCATGAGTTATCAGTGTCACAGAAAGAAGTCCCTCAGGTTGGAATTTCCAAAGTGACTTCTTGGCCAGTCCTTGTGGCCCAACTGAGAGTCAGAAGCTCCACTGATAGTGGCATGCGTGGATGGCCATGGATCTCAGAACTGTGGCACGTGGTGCCAGTCTCCAGGTATGTGTTATCTCGGCAACCCTGCAGAGGACTGGCCTACAGGTCTCCATCTCTCATATTTTCCTTATGAAGTTAATTATTTGTCTTCTTCATCCAAAGAAAAGACTGTAAACTCACCTGAGCTGAAGAAACAAGTGTCCCGAATAGAGGAGATAAAATATCTGAGAAGACAAAACATTTAAATCGAATTCATATTTTGATAAAAATTCTCTAGTAACAATAATCACAATTGACTTATTAAATAGTCACCGACAATCAAAATTTGGCTTAGAAAACAGTGAACTAAGAAGCCACTACAAAGCTAGACTTTAATGTTCCACAAAATTTGAGAACATTTCCCTGTGCTATTTAATATTTATTATGTATTCTTTCACAAAATATAATGTAAAATTAAAATCTACGACTTCAGACTGGTCAATTTTAGAAATTGCCAAAAAAGACAATAATGATACATGTTCTTCTTCCTTCCATTCCTTGAAGTACTCACTCAAGTCCCTCTCAGGAGACCTCTCCAACCCGAGACTAGCAAGATGGTTCTTGTCCGGAGCCTGAGAGCACTTCTTCCTTTGAAGGAGAGGGCAGAGGCACCCACAACCCTAAGCTCGCATTTCCAGCATCCCTCGTCTTCTCTAAGGAGGTTCCACCTCGCACCCCTTCAAGCTTAACTTCAGATAGGTCAGAAAGCTCACTTCTCACAAACTACACCATGAGAGGAAGTACATGATCGTTATTCCCACTACTGACTATAACAGTCGCACTTGTCCATGACCTTTGAGGGGCCCGGCACTGGTCCTGGTACTTTCCACGTGTTAACTCTTACTCATCGCAGCCGCTTTCTGAGGTGGGGACTGTCGTTCCTGTTTTGTAGATGAGGAGTCTCTCCTTAGAAGGCTGCCCATAGGGGCAGCCAGGTGGTGCAGCGGTTAGGTTCGCACATTCCGCTTTGGTAGCCCGGGGTTCTCAAGTTCGGATCCTGGGTGCAGACATGGCACCGCTTGGCAAGCCATGCTGTGGTAGGCGTCCCACATATAAAGTAGAGGAAGGAAGATGGGCACAGATGTTAGCTCAGGGCCAGTCTTCCTCAGCAAAAGGAGGAGGATTGGCAGCAGATGTTAGATCAGGGCTAATCTTCCTCAAAAAAAAAAGAAAGCCACCCATAGCCACACTGCTACGAAGGGGCAGAGTCGGGATCTGAACCCGGACTGTCTCGCTCCAGCACTTCTGCTCTTAACCACCAAACTGGTTCTGAGGATTAAGACTGGGCTCATTCATTTATTTGACCCATATTTAGAGTGTTTCCCATCTTCCAGACATGGAGCTAGATGCCAGGATACAAAGATTTCAAAAGAAAAAGAAAGTCCTCTTAAGGAAGCTCCGACCTTAATGGAGAGGTACACAATGAAGAGAGAAATTGCAATACATTCCTTGATGGTCTCCTCCATTTTGTCCACACTGGCGGCTCCTCTTCTGTCTTTCTTAATTTACTCATCTTTAAAGGCCCATCTGAAATCCCCCTTCCTCCATGAGATCTTCTAGACAATCTGCAGTCATGATGCATGTTGGAGTGGTATATCAAACAGTTCAAAGAGCACGGATTCTGAGGCTGGAACGCCTGGATTCAAATCCCAGCTCTGTCATCTACCAGCTCTGTGATCTTGGGCAGATTATTATTATTATTTTTTAAAGATTTTATTTTTTTCCTTTTTCTCCCCAAAGCCCCCTGGTACATAGTTGTATATTCTTCGTTGTGGGTCATTCTAGCTGTGGCGTGTAGGACGCTGCCTCAGTGTGGTTTGATGAGCAGTGCCATGTCTGCATTGGGCAGATTATTTAACTTCTCTAAACTACAGATCTGTCACCTACCCGAGGAGGAGAATTGTACCATCTACTCATAAAGCTGTTGTGAGGACTAAAGGAGATATCTGTGTAATAATCTATGTAAAAGCTCTTATCATAACGTTAGCTTCTCCTTCCTCAATATCTTGGTGCTGGTAGCCAGTCTTTATCATTTTATTATATACAGCAAAACCTTGCATAGTTCTCTAGTGATCTCCTGTGTCTATCTCTCTCAAAACAAAAACACTGAGACCTATTGTATATGTCTTCCAAGAACCTAGACAAGACATTCACAAAAAGAAAAAAAACTGTAGAATCAAACTCTTTACAGTATGAATATTTATGCTTCACACAGAAGATATATAGTGCAATTATACCTTTGATATATAATTAAAACACTACTGACAGTGAACATAATCTCTTCTGTGGGCCAGAAAAAAGGTAATCTGAAATGAGCGTGATAACGTTTACTTTGTATATCTGCCATGTGACTATATTGTGCTGGTCACTTTGCGCACTTCCTCCCTTTTTTCTGAATCTTCAGTTTGAAGATGAGTAAACTGAAATATGAAGAATCTTAGGTCCTTCGCTAGTTACCCACACAGCAAGCAAGTGGTGAGGTCAGGATTCAAACCCTGTGTCTTGGACTCAAGAGCTCCTCTTCTTCCCTTAAGGAAAACTGTTTCCTCTCTACACTCAATACTTTTGACACCAAGTGTGCGGGGTTTTCCATACAGACCAATTCTCTAGTTCTCTGTGGACAGTGGCTGGGTGTCCTACAATTTGACTCAATTCTGACACCATCCACCCGGAGTTGGCCTCAGATCTCACAGGCTTAGGGTTCAGTCCCACAAGACTGCCCCCACGTCAGACACCAATCACAAGTCCAGACCTCACATACATCTGACCAACAGGCTGTAAACTGGAGGGTTGCCAAGACCCCCTCCTTGAGGTTTGATAATTTGCTATTAGGCCTCACAGACCTCAGGAAAGCACTTTATCTACTGGATTACCAGTTACAGCTCAGTAACAGCCAGATAGAAGAGATGCACAGGGAGAGGTATGCGAGAGGGAGTGGAGCTCCCATGCCCTCTTCAGATGTACCACCCTCCCAGGACCTCCATGTATTCACCACCCGGAAGCCCTCCGAATTCCTCCAGTTAGGGCTTTTTTAATGGCACACTTGATTAAATCATTGGCCATTAATGACTACTGCAACCCCCAGCCCCTCTCCCAGAGATGACAGGGTGGGCCTGAAAGGTCCAACTTTAACCACATGGTTGGCTCACCTGGCAACCAATCCCCCATTCTTAAGGGCTTTCCCAAAATCACCTCATTATGATAAACTCAACTGTGGTGGAAAGGGGCTTGCTATGAATAACAAAAGAGACTCCTTTCACCTTTATTACTTTGGAGCTGTTTCAGGAGCCTGGGACAAAAACCAACTATAACCTGGAATGAAGACCAAATACATATATCATAGTATCATGCAGATGTTCCATGGTGACTAACCAAAGATCATGGCATTCTTTTTTCATGTCTGCATCAGGAAGCAAAACCAGGCTTTCAAGCACTGGTTCTCAAACTCAATTGGGCATTAGAATCCCCTGAAAGGCTTGTTAAAGCACACATCACAGGACCTCACTCCTTGCTCGCAGAATCTGATTCAATGAATCTAGAGTGGAGCTGGAGAATCTGCATTGAACAAATTCCAGGTGATGCTGCTGATCCCGCTGGTCCAGGGACTCAACAGAATGATTGCTGTCAAGTATTTGCTACCTTGTTAATAGTGTTGTTGATCAAGTTTAATTTTTATTTTTTATTTTTCTATTGCTGGGAAAGATTCACCCTGAGCTAACATGTTACCAATCTTCCTCCCTTTTGTTTTTTTTCTCCCCTCCTCCCCAACGTCCCAGTACATAGTTCTATATCCTAGTTGTAAGTCTTTCTAATTCTTCTACGTGAGCTGCTGCCACAGCATGGCTCCTGACAGACGAGCAGTGTGGTTCCACGTCCAGGAACTGAACCCAGGTAGCCAAAGCAGGGCACACCGAACTTTAACCACTAGGCCACCAGGACTGGCTCAAAGATAATTTTTAAATTAAAAGTTAAACAATTCTAAACACTGTACTAAGTGTTCCAACAGGGTTGATCTACAGGGCTATGAGAGACATCCTCTGATTTCCTGACTGAAGTAAACAGTTTGCTGTCAAACTAATGCATCCACTTTCAAAATGGTTAATTTTTTTTCTCCTGAGTTAAGACAATGCAGAAGGGTCTTGGAGATCATTCTAGGCTACTCTCCTGTTTTATTGAGGGGATCCTCTCATGTGCAGTTTGACAGCTCCTGGACACCTAGCATCACTTACCCTTGATGTGGAGGGCTCCGGAGTTATACTTTGGCTTAATTCCTGAGACTCGAGTGAGGTAAAATTGGAAGGGGTTCCCTTTATCCAACATGTCCCACATGTCTTGGCCTTCTCCTGACGTCTCATACTCATCTTCCTCCTCTTTGAGCCTGAAGCTGGTGGGAGGACCAGGCTTTCCAGTTCTTTGGGGAGCAGCATCTCCGGGAGGAGAGATGCCTTTCTCCTCTTTGACTGCCACTTTCTTCGCCTGCTTCTGCTGTGTTTCTTGTTGCAGCTCATCATCGCTGCTGGACAGACACCAACCTAGGTCTTCCTGGGAACCACTCTTCTGCCTTTTGGGAGGCAAAACTTCTGAGGCCGAGTCTGTGTTGCTGAATTTCACGGGTGATAGCTTCCTCCTGTGGGCAGCTTTCCGAGCCTCGGAACAGGTGTAGCGTGGCTCATTTGCTGCTCCCTGCCCAGCATGGGGGAGAAAAGAGGAAGATGGCTTGTCCAGTTTGGGCTTTTCTTCTTCACTTTCATCACTACTGGATATAGTCCACCTCCCATAATTGCCTTCCTGAGACATTATCCTTCTTCTGGAAATGAAAGATGGAAATATTGTTATTTCCCATTCACTAGGCCATTGGCAAACTGCTGCTCTCTAACTCCCTGTCATATGAGCTACCACAACACATACAGCAACCCGACACCTACCAAGACAGTGTCAAATGATCGATTCTGTATATACATTATCTAGAAGTACTTCCATGAGGACCCAACTCACTTAATTATCATATTGGCCTTGTCCTAAATCAAACTACTAAAACGTGCAGAGGAAAAACTTATACTGAAGCAAAACACTTATTTTCTAAATCACAAAGTCTAATTTCCACTTTCTTGGTCTCAGAAGAGGAAACTAGATGAAACAGGTACTTGTGGTTTTGTTACCTACAAAAAGTCACAAATTCAATGGTAAAGGGCTAAGTAGATTTTCCAGCTAGCTAAAGAACAGTTCCTTAGTGTGATTTTTGTTTAAAACATTTTAGTACAAGAACCAGAGGAAAATTAGACAATACAAAGAGTCTGTGCTCAGACTGTTGATAGTGTCTAAATTTTTGCCTTTTTTATTTTTTTTATTTTTTTCCTTTTTCTCTCCAACGCCCCCCAGTACACAGTTGTATATTCTTCGTTGTGGGTCCTTCTAGTTGTGGCATGTGGGACGCCACCTCAGCGTGGCTTGATGAGCAGTGCCATGTCAGCTCCCAGGATTCGAACCAACGAAACACTGGGCCGCCTGCAGCCGAGCGCACGAACTTAACCGCTCGGCCACAGGGCCAGCCCCTAAATTTTGCCTTTTTAAAGAGACTGAGCAGGTCGCATTGAGTGGGGTATACCAAGACAGAATTTGGCACTGTTCACAGGACGCCAATTCCTAAAAAAAAGAATTGATTTACCACCAAAAGATTTACAAACGAATATACTTTCATGTTTCACACTAAAAAGACTATTTTTAAGGTATCTATCACTTTTCACAATTTCTCACTTAACTTCAGTTAATGACCAGTCGAATCAGATAACTCCATTATATTCACAATAACAAAGTTTACTTTTTAAAGACAGTGTTTATGTAACAGAGTGGATTCAAATAAAAATATCAAGCAAATAACAGTATAGGTGTTGAAAGACTAACTAGGGAGGAGGGAAGTGAATGACTGAAATCGGCAAACACCGCCTTAAGTTATATTGTCAAGGAGGAGGAAAATGTAAAAATTCTCCCACCCAATGCCAACTCAGAACATTAGAGCTTCTATTAGGAACTGAAAAAGATTTGTGGATGGGATGCAAATAGGTACTCCTCTTAAAGTTGCTAGGTCTTCCTCTCCCACCATCATACCAGACCCAGCTGGAGCAGTTCTTTTACACTTTCAGCAGCTCCTTCTTACAGGGCTTGCAAACCATGAGAGTGGGCCTAGGAGTCAGGCTCTCAGTTGAGGCCCTGTATGAGTAATAGTGGAGAAACATGAGCCCCAATTTCAAATCCAGTCATTACTAAGTGATAAATGTGCCCTTAGGCAGGTTCCTTAACTGCTGTGCCTCAGTTTTCTCCTCTGTAAAATGGGTATCATACCTACTTCCCAGCGTTCACTCATTCAACAAATCTTATTGAGCAGGTACTAGGTGCCAAGAGCTGGGAATCAGGAGTTAACAATATAGAAAGTTTTTGCCCTAGAAGAGCTTACATTTCAGGAGGAAAGAGACAGACTAACACAAAAAAAAGCCAAGATGGCCTTACAAGACATTCATTACGTTTTACACATATGAGATAGTAATAGGATGCCCTTACCCTGGAATACTCTGAATAAGTAACACTCAAGTGCAATCTGGAGGATGAAAAGGAACCAGCGGGAATAAAAAAGGAAAGGAGGGGGAAGGGACGTGAAGAGCCCTGTAAGAAAAGGGAACCCAACCTGCAAAGGCCAGGAGGTGGAACAAGGTTGTAATAACTCCAAGAGCTCACAGGAAGACTTGAATAAGGCAGGCAGTAGTCCAGGATAAAGGTGGGGGCGGCGGGGCGTAAATCGCGTTAAAGATACCGGATCTTATTCTGAAAACAATGGGGCCCCACTGAAGGGCTTTAAGCAGGGGTGTACCTTGGCCCGATTTACCTTTTTAAAATATTACGTTCCCTAGAACCCTGTGTGAAGAATGGTTGGAAAGGAGACAAAAGTCCAAGGAGAGGAGGCTGCTGCAGGGACTCAGAGATGATGAAGGCGGTGGGGATGCAGTGAGGTGGGCTGACTCCCGGTACCAGGAGGAAGTAATGACAGCTGCTAACTTTTCTGTGCGTTCATCTCGGGCCAGGCACAATTCGAAGCACTTTACCCGCTGTAAACTCATTTCATGCTCACCCGTCTATACTAACTACCACGACTGCTTCCATTTACGGGGAAACTGAGCCCAGAAAAGTTAACTGGCATATGGTGAGCGCTCAACAGGCGCTAGTTATCACCACTACCTGCCCAGACCACCCACACTATTAATAGAAGAAGCCGGAATAAGGACCCGAGCGGGGGACCCCTCACGCCCACACTGCGGGCAGGACTCGGGGCTCTGCAACGCCTGCTGCGCGACCCTAAGAGGTACTCTACTGGGGGAAGCCGAGGCCCAGGGCCGAGGGGACCGTGCCCGGGGTCTTTACCAGATGCGCGGCTCCCCCGCGAGCCGCCTTCAGCCCCGCAGGGCACTCGCGAACTCGCCGGACCCGAGCGGCCCGCGCACCGCCCCGGGCGGCAGGAGCAGGATCGCGGGCTCCCACGGCCGCCGAGCACGCACCTGAGGCACCGGAGCCACGCCAGCGAACCAGCACCGGGGATGCCCGCCGCGGCCACCGACTGCGCTTGCGCGCAGTTCAAACCCTCAGGGCCGCGGCGCGCACCTCGCGGCCCCGCCCCTTCCCCTTCCGGGACGCCCGCCGCTGGGTCCTAAAGACCGCCGGATCCACAGGGGCCGCAACCCTCCTGGGGGCTCCCACAGAAGGGGGCAGAGGAGAGCCCTGGGTGCCTCCAGCTCTCGGCTCACCTGGCCGTTTCTTCTAAAGAGGGGAGAGAGAAATAAACCTAAAAAGAGGCGAGAGAAAATGAAGTGTCCGAAGTGTTCCCTTGCTTCTCCCTTAGTTAGTTAGCAAAACTCATCCCCTTTACAGGGATTCTCATAGACAGCTTCATTCTCCCAGAGCCAGAGGCAGGAGGGTTTATTTCGAAGGGAGAGAGATCAGCCAAGGTTTGAGGCAGCTGAGGGCTGAGACCAGTATCTCGGGAGAAGCGGGTTCGCTTGGGACGCAAATTGTAAAACCTGCTGTAAAATAGAAGGTTGAGTTCCCATCAGCTTCAACCTCCAATGCCTGTTTCTTCGTCGAAACGGGTGTACGTGATTTTAATCTTACTGATTTGCCAGAAGAGAGAGGGATCCGAGACAAACTCCTTTGCAAAACGGACCCCCTCACCCCCGTATTCCTTGCCTTTAATAAAGATATTTGGTATGAAATTTGGGCAGAATGCTGTTTTATACTGTTTATTCTCGGAGTTTCTTTCAAACCAGGCAACCATCGCAGAGGAGTGAACGAAATAACTTGGTGTAAACGTCCTAAGGGGTTGCTTGGTTCGTTTGCTGAACGTCTACTTTGTGCCAGGCACCGTGTTAGGTGCTAGTATTTTCCGGAGGACAAAACGGACACGGTAGCTACCCTGGAGGGCGCGCCCCCAGTGACTTGCTGATGTGCACGTGAATCCTGGACTAGGCTTGTTTTGTTTGGTTCCTTTTAAGCTTTGTTCACACTCTTTCTGTGTCTCCCATAATGTTTAGCACAGTGCCATAGATCAGAATTAGCAAAAGTGATTTATTGCAAGGTGTAGGGGCAGAAAATGAAAAGAATCATCCAGGATGCGACAAAACAGCGACTGGGAGAGCAGGATTCCCCACCCGGGCGCTAGGAGTTAAGGGAGTGAGAGGGGCGGAGCCAAGGCGGGGGGCGGGCCTAGCAGCCTCTCCGCCATAGGCTGGTCCAAGGAAACGTTGTTAAACAAAGCCTCGGGCCAATAGAACTGCAGGGTCAACGCCAGTGGCTCGCAGGTCGACCAATGGGAGAAGACGTTGGAGGTGTCCGGCCAAATGCAGCTTCCGGAGCTGCCGTGAGCGTGGCTGCGGTCCGCAGAGAGCGTGATTCTGGCCGCTGGGCTCGTGGGTTTGGCTGTCTCGGCTCAGTTGTGGCAAGTCGCGATGTTTTTCTCCCAGGCCGGGGCTCGGCCGCGGACATGGGAAGCCACCCCTTCAGAACGCAAGAAATGGGTAGAAGTAGGTGTTCAGAGGTCTGAGTCTTGGATTTTAACTTGACCCCGGGCTCTCAACTTCCATCACCCTGCCTGGATCTCACTCAGCCCGGTTGCATCGACAAGCACTGGACTATCCTTCCAAAGTGTCGTGGTTAATGACTGAGCCTAGGGCTGCAAGGCTTCTGGCTCCATGTCCAGTGTTCTGGCTACTTCCAAGTTCCTGCTCTTCTCCGCTACATAGTCTATTAAATAATAATTTCTAATCTGCCTCTTGCTGCCTTTCAAAGCCACCACCTTTGTCTCACCTTCCTAATTCTAGGACTGAATTCTGGGTAGAATTTATCCCAATGGTTTAACGTAATTAATTTGTGTCAGCCTAGCGATCAAGTTGTTTGCACTGTTTTTGGGTAGATTTTAGCACATTAAGATTTGTTGAGAATTAAACTTTGGATAATAAAACTCCATTTCTGAGCCCTACTGCTCGGCTGAGTTTTAGATCTTGGAGGTCTGAATTTAATATAAACTAGTAACAAAAACAGCAGAACAGATAGTTTCTGTCTTATTAACTAAAGTTATTTAATGTTCTTTAGGTATTTAAAGCATGTGATGAAGATAACAAAGGCTATCTAAGCAGAGAGGACTTTAAAGTTGCTGTTGTGACGCTGTTTGGGTACAAGCCCTCCAAGGTAGAGCTTGCTTCTTATATTTGGGGGTGGGGCAGATAATACAATAGTGAGTGGATTGTAAGTAAAGTGCAGAGGGCTAGCTTAGGATGTTTATAAAGCAAATTGCTGACTTAGAAGCAATTTCAGAGATGTGTCCAGTGGTGAATTTTACTCTTCTTAAGAACCTTACTCGGATGAATTAGAGTCCAGGAAGCCTGTCTCACCACCAGACTGTTAATACTTATAATAAATATGAGATGCTAGGGAAGTGTCAAGAGGGAAAGCTGCGGATGGGGGTGGGGTGTTGGTAACGGGAGAAATTCATAGAGGAAGTAACATGTTTCTTCTTTAATTAAATTTTTTGCTCCATTTAAATTATAAAAGTAATACATTTACGTGGTCAAAAAATTCTCACAGTCTAGAAAAGCATAAAGTTGAACGTAAAATCCTCTCCCTTCCTACCAAAGGGTCCCACTCCTCAAGGGTTACTATTATTAAGTTTCTTATGTATCATTCCAAAACTTTCTATGCATGACAACCATGCCTAGCAGTCTATGAAAACATAAGTGGGTGCCTAGTATGCCTATTTTATTTGAACTTGCTTTTTTCACTTAACAATAGATGAACATAAAAACAAACACCATCAGCTCGTTAAAAAAAAAAGTTGCAAAGTATTCTCTTTAGCCAGTTTCCTGTTTTTGGTCATTTAGATAGTTTCCATTGTTTTTCATTCCCACAAACATTGCTGCAATGAGCATCCTTTTATGTCTGTACTTATACGTGTGGATTATCTCTGTGGAATAAATTCCTAGAGGTACAGTTGCTGTATACATTTGAAATTTTTTTGGATATTGCTCTCCAGGAAAGGTTGCACTAGTTCACTAATAATGAGAGTTCAGCTGAACTTCAATGAACCTCCTACTTGACTAGAACAAATTTCCTGTTCCCCTTTCCTTGTGCTGCTCCCCTTGTCTATTACATCCATTCTAGAGAGGGATCCTTCTTGTTAAGCTGCTGAACTGGAATTAATCAGAGGCAAGATCTTGTCCAGATTTAAGAAATTCAACTGCAGCCATCAAGTAGAGGGACTCAGGGCTCTGCCTGGAATGCCCTCCCTCACGCCCTCATTAACCAGCTTGGCAATCATTTTGGCCCAGCTGTTGCTCATGAGTGGGCTCTACTTGTCTGTCAGATTGCAAGCCCAGTGAGGCCAGGGATCACGTGGTGTCTCACTTGTCCATCCTTCACTATGCATAAATGTATCACAACTTCTTGGTAAATATGCTCTGTTGATACAAATAGATCCCATGAACAGCCCAGGTAGGTTCAGAGGGAATGCTTAGTTACTGAGAGGTTGATTATGGAGCTCAGAGAAGTAGTCAGGGTTGGCTCCCAGAAATTGCAGCTCTCCTGTTAACCTGCGATTATGTCAGCTGCAATTCCAAAGAAGGTCAGCTAATGGACTTAGCCTTTGGGTTTTTTTTGTTGTTGTTTTTTTGAGTAAGATTAGCCCTGAACTAACTGCTGCCAATCCTCCTCTTTTTGCTGAGGAAGACTGGCCCTGAGCTAACATCCATGCCCATCTTCCTCTACTTTATATGTGGGACGCCTACCACAGCATGGCTTGGCCAAACTGTGCCATGTCTGCACCCGGGATCTGAATCAGCGAAATCCGGGCCCCTGAAGCGGAACATGCGCACTTAACTGTTGCGCCACCCACGGGCCCCAGACTTAGCCTTTGAAGCATCTCTTTACCCTGGGTTCAGCTGGAAAGATCATTCTGCCTTTATCACCCTTGACTACTTACTTGGTTTTAATTTTAGAATGTAAGTGAGGAATTTAATGACAGGTGATATACATATGTACACTCCATGAAATTGAACAGACTTTTACGTTTATTTTCATACCTGGTCAAGGTTTTGGATTTTAATTTTTAGTCAAACGGAATGTTTATTGACCACAGATCACTAAACAGCAAAGTACTGATATAGCAAATCATCCCTACACTTATCAATCATTTGTACTGTGAATTTTTATTAAATAAGTGACACTTAATGTATAACCTCTGTGGGGCCAGCCCTGTGGCCGAGTGCTTAAGTTTGTGCGCTCCGCTTTGGTGTCCCAGGGTTTCACTGGTTTGGATCCTGGGCATGGACATGGCACTGCTCATCAGGCCATGCTGAGGTGGCGTCCCACATGCCACCACTAGAGGGACCTGTAACTAAAAATATACAACTATGTACTGGGGGGATTTGAGGAGAAAAAAAAAAGAAGAAAAAAAATGTATAGCTTCTGTAAAATTGAACAGATTTTTATTTTTATACTAGGTTGAGATTTGGGGTTTTGTCTTTGAATATTGCTTTTGAGCGAATGAAATATTTACTGAATGCAGGTCATGAAGCAGAAAAGCACTTGTGTGATAAACGGCTTATAACCACATGTAGTTGTTTACACAATGACATTTATTGCGTTCCTCTTTAACAAAAGGAACACTTGCTAGGTGCTAGAGATACAAAGATGAATGAAACATAGACCCTACTTTGAAGCTGTTCACAATTTAGTGTATAAAACTGTGAGAAATACAAAGATAGATGAGATTAGGAACAGAAAGTGAAGGGGACAAAGAGCCTGGTCTAATTCTAGTAACTATAATAGGAGTCTGGGTGGCATTTAGGCTAGAGGAGCCAGACTCCTCTGATATGAAGGGTCTGGGAACACTTTGTGGGTGGTGGGAGAAGTTACACCCTGGTGATCGATTGGATACAGTGGTGGTAAGAAAGTGGTGTAACACCAGGACTGAAGGCATAGGGAAGCCACCAAGTAAGAAAATTCAGAAGGAGTAGGTTCATGGGAAAGACAATGACTTCAGACTGGAACACATTAAGTTTAAGGAGGCAATGAGCATTCCAAGTGCATTCAGTCGTTAAACGCTGTGCTGGTGTTGAGGTTATGGGGGTAACGATCTGCTCTCAAATTGTACTGCCTGTCTTAGAGGAATCTGAAATTGAGTGGAGAGGTGAGGGCTGGAGATAGATTCAGGATTCTTCAGTTTGCAAGTGGTACCTCAAAACATGAGACTGGGTAGCATTGCCCAGGAGGAGGATGCAGGGCCTGAAGGGCAGGAGCCTGAGGGCAGAACACTGGGGAGTACCAGCATTTAAGAGCAGGCAGGGACTTTGTGAAGAAGATGCAGTGGGAACCATCTGGGAGGGCCAGAAGCAATCAGAAAGTGCAGGGCATGGAATCCAAGGTGGAGAAGCTGTGTCAGATGCTTCCAGGGTTCTAGTTCCATAATGTTTGTAGAGCTCTTGTAACAATGTGGGAAAATGCTTATTTCTTAATATTGACTAAAAGCAGGTCCCCAAACTTTATACACAATGTGTTCTCAAATATGTTTAAAAATGCATGGAAAAAGAAAAAAGGTAGATAAGGCCAAAATGTTAACAATGGTTTTCATTGGATGGCTGCTTTTAAAATTTTTCTTCGTCATAATTTTTTATGTTTTTCATGTTTTCTGCATCATGTTACTTTTATAATCAGGAAAAAAATTTAAAAATCAAGCCATAGAGCTCATTGTAATAATTACTATATTTGTCTAAAACAAAGGTTACCTTTTAGGTTATGCTACATGTGTGACAGACAAGTTGATTTTATATGCTTAAATCATTTTGGTCAATGGAATAAAGTTTTGGGGGCCATTAGAATCTGTAGTACGTTAGTGTCTGGTAACGTATATATTAATGGAAGAGTAAAATGACTACTACAGCTGTCCTGTGACATTACTTCTTTGCTGGGCTAAACAAATTTGGTTTCTCATAAAATGCATCCAGGAATTAAGAACTTGCACCCTGAAAACATTTCATGAAATTATATGTCCTATTCTTTCCTCTTTTCTAGATAGAAGCCAATTCTGTGATGTCTTCAATAAATCCAAACACTTCCGGTAATATGAAAGTTAATATTAATTTTCCATACCCTTATTTAGACATTCATGAAACTAAAGTTAAGAACAAATATAGAGACTATAAAACATTATGTTTAAGCACATCTTTGTTTTGTTTCCCGTTACCCAAAAGATAAAGGTTTTGGTTCTTTTAATTTTGATTAATTCATGTATTTATAAGTATAATGTATGTTTATTATAGGAATTTTGAAACATCGAAAAGCATAAAGAAAAAAATGTTGCTTATAATTTCAACATCCAAAGGATGATTCTGAGTTTTTTGACTTGAATGAATGGATGTGGCACTTATTGAAATGGGAAGACTAGGGGAGAAGATTCGGGGTTCGGGGAGACCAAGAGTTCCATTTTGAATATGTTAAGTTTGAGAAGCTTCGATCAACAATGTCAAGGCAATCGGGCTGTATGAATATGGACTTCAGAGGAAAGCTCTGGGCTGAAGAAATAAATTTGGGAGTCATCAGCTTGTAGATGGTTTTTAAAGCCATGGGAATGGATGAGACCACCTCGAGAAACAGAATGCACTGAGAAGCTTGGGGACTGTAACCATTGAAAGTCAGAGGATAAGGATGGGGGAAGGAGGAAAATCGGGAGTGTTTGATCTAAAGCCAGGAGAGGTGGCTATTTCCAGGAAGAGGGTGTGGTCAAGACCGTCAAAGGCTGAGGAAAGGTCCTGTAGCTTAAGAACTGGAGAGGATCCCTTGGAGCTGGCAAACTGGGTGTGTTTGGTGACTTTAGCAAGAGCAGTTGCAGTGCGTGGTGAGGGCAGAGGCCAGGCTGGAGTGTGTGGAAGATAAATGGAAAGTCAGAAAGTGTGACAATGTGAGTAGATAAGTCTTTGAGTAGGATCAAGAAAGGTTTTGTTTGCTTTTTTTTTTTTGTGGAATATGAAGAGTATGTTTCTAAGCTTAATGGAATCTAGTGGATCTAGTGAAGAGAGAAAAGGATGAGAGAGACGAGTACCTATTGTTTGAGGGAATAGGATCCAGAGCATGCTGGATTGGCTGTTTAAAAATTACCATTTTTGGGAAATTATTTAAAGCTTACAAAAGTTGCACGATAATAATAGGACATACAGAGAATAGATGTGTACCCTTTAACCAGATTCACTTATTGTTAACATTTACCCTATTCGCCTTCTCATTTGCACTTTCTACCGCTACCCCCTCCTCTCTGTGTATTATATGTAACCAGAATGTACCTATCAATTTCATAAATTTATTTTGATGCTATTTTTTTATTTTATTGAGGTCATAATAGTTTATAACATTGTGAAATTTCAGTTATACATTATTATTTGTCAGTCACCATATATGTGTAACCCTTTACCCCTTATGCCTACCCCCCAACCCCTTTCCCCTCTGATAACCATTAATCAGTTCTCTTTGTCCATGTATTTGTTTATCTTCCACATAGAGTGAAATCCTATGGTGTTTGTCTTTCTCTGTCTGGCTTATTTCGCTTAACATAATACCCTCAAGTTCCATCCATGTTGTTGCAAGTGGGACAATTTTGTCTTTTTTTCTGGCTGAGTAGTATTCCATTGTGGGGGGTGTGTGTGTGTGTGTGTGTGTGTGTGTGTGTGTGTATCCATCCCCCACATCTTCTTTATCCATTCATCAGTCAGCGGGCACTTGGGTTGCTTCCATGTCTTGGCTGTTGTGAATAATGCTGCAATGAACATAGGGGTGCATAAGTCTCTTTGAATTGTTGATTTCAAATACCCGGTAGTGACATAGCTGGGTCGTATGATATTTCTATTTTTAATTTTTTGAGAAATCTCCATACTGTTTTCCATAGTGGCTGCACCAGTTTGTATTCCCACCAGCAGTGTATGAGGGTTCCCTTTTCTCCACATCCTCCCCAACATTTGTTGTTTTTTGTCTTGGTAATTATAGCCATTCTAATAGCTGTAAGGTGATATCTCATTGTAGTTTGATTTGCATTTCCCTGGTGATTAGTGATGTTGAACATCTTTTCATGTGCCTATTGGCCATCTGTATATCTTCTTTGGAAAAATGTTCATATCCTCTGCCCTTTTTTTGATCAGGTTGTTTGTTTTTTGTGTTTTTGACTTGTGTGAGTTCTTTATATATTTTGGAGATTAACTCCTTGTCGGATATATGATTTGCAAATATTTTCTTCCAGTTGGTGGGTTGTCTTTTTGTTTTGTTCCTTGTTTTCTTTGCCTTGCAGAAGCTCTTTAGTCTGATGAAGTCCTATTTGTTTATTTTTTCTTTTGTTTCCCTTGCCCAAGTAGGCACGGTACTTGAAAAGATCCTTCTAGGACTGATGTCAAAGAGTGTACTGCCTATATTTTCTTCTAGGAGTTTTATGGTTTCACGTCTTACCTTCAAGTCTTTAATCTGTTTTGAGTTAACTTTTGTGTATGGTGAAAGATAATGGTCTGCTTTCCTTCTTTTGCATGTGGCTGTCCAGTTTTCCCAACACCATTTATTGAAGAGACTTTCCTTTCTCCTCTGCATGTTCTTAGCTCTTTTGTCAAAGATTAGCTATCTGTGGATGCGTGGCTTTATTTCTGGGCTTTCACTTCTGTTCCATTGTTGACACTGAATTTTTATCTAATTTACCATCTATATTCCAGTGTTGTCACTTGATCTACTAATGTCCTTAATACAGCATCTTTTCTGCTTTAGTACAGGAATTAGTCTTTGGTGTCATGTCTCTTTAGCCTCCTTTAATGTGGGACATTTCTGTAGACGTTTTTTTGTTTCTTGCCCTTTTTATAACGTTGATATTTTTGAGGAAATAGCCCACCTCTCACTGTTTTGTTTTGTTTTGAGAACATTCCTCATTTGTGTTCTCCTGGTGCTTCTCTGTAATTGGGTTGAAGTTAAGCATTCTCAGCCAGAATACCGTTTAGGTGGTATGTCCCTCTCAGAGTGCCATGTCTGGGGGTACACAATGTCCGTCTGTCTCTCAGATGATATTAATTTTCATCACCAGTCAAGATGTTGTCCAAGTTTTCCATTGGATTATTTGTTTTTATTTTCTTCCCTTGCAACTAATAAGTAGTCTGTGGAGATACACGGTTAAGACCATGCAAATATTCTGCTTCTCATCAAGGTTTCCCCCTAGTTTTGATATCCATTCATGATTCTTGTCTGATTCACTTTTTGCCATAAGGGTTGCAGAATAATGATTTTCTAATCCCAGTGCTTCTTTCAGTTAACCTGTGGCATTGTAGTATAAACCAGAGACCTCCCTTCTTCCTGATCAATTGATGTATCTGTCTACCTGTCTATTATCAGTATGGACTCATGAATTTGTATGTTTTTAAAGATTTGTGATTCATTACGGTACTGAATTATTTTAGCACTCATTGTCACAGCCATTGAGTACCCTCTCAAGCTGGCACCTATGTCCTTTTGACTGGTTTGACTTTTTCTTTTTTAAAAATCTTTTTATTTATACATGTTGGATTTACAAAAGAGTTTGCTGGATTTTTTTTTGTATACAAGACTCGGTATCATATATGGAACATGACTTTTAGAACAATATTATTACTAGGGGAACATGTTTTTGACATAATCCCTAACTTGATGAAATTTCCCCAGGTTTTGAATTTCTTGTTAAAAATTTTAACACTTTCAAAATATTCAAATATTGTTTCTTTTTTTAAAAAAGATAAATTTTATCTTTTTTATATATATATATATATATATATATATATATATTTTTTTTTTTTTTGCTGAGGAAGATTCACCCTGAGGTAATATCCATGCCAATCTTCCTCTGTTTTTTAGTATGTGGGCCACCAGCACAGCCTGGCCGCTAACAGAGCAGTGTAGGTCTGCACCCAGGAACCAAACTCTGGCCATTGAAGCAGAGCATGCTGAACCTGACCACTAGGCCATCAGGGCTGGCTCCTCAAATATTGTTTCTTTAGTGTTCAGTTAGTTATAACTTCGTGGTGAAGGCTTCCCTACATTTTTTTCTTTGGGTTTCTATGCGAATATTCTAATCTGCAAAGATTTCCGTAGCTTCTGGCAGGAGGATCTCTATGTTGATAGGATTTCTCTCCTTTAGGAATCCCCCAGTGCTCAGTGAGTTACTCTATCTGGGTGAAGATCTTCCCCCGCTCATTTTATTTATGTAGCGTTTCTCTGTGATGTGACTTTTTTGATATAGCAAGTGTGATGTTGCTGCAGGCATTCTCACATTCATTCTTCTTAAAGATTTTCTCCCTTATGTATGTTCTCTGATTGTGAATTAAGGATTTGACTTCTCATGGAAGATTTTCTTTCCTTAATTAGTTCTTTGGTGTACAGAGAGGTGTTATTCTGGAAGAAAGATTTCCCACCTTCTTTATTGGTATATTAAGTTCTCTGAAGTAGAGTATAGGTTGACTTCCAACAGAACTTTTTCCCACATTCAATGTCATAAGTTTTTCCCTCATATGTATTATGTCATGTTTAGTGAAATACTACTTCATAAAAATGTTTCCCCATTTGTGCTACATTCATGTGGATAATTTGATGTACACCGAAGGGTAAATTCTGGCAGATTTTCCCACCTTCGTTACATTCTAAAGGTTTCTCCTGTGTGTGAGTGCTCTGATAGAAAGTGAGGACTGATTTGTGGCAGCAGTTTGCTCCAGGTATCCATTATTTGCTTCCTTCTCTCTATTTTCCTTTTCTCTGATGTTTGAGAGAGGTTTGACTTCTGGCTGAAGATATGTTCATGAAATATACAGAATTTCCTCTCCTTTATGAGTTCTCTAATTCTTGAATTTTGACTTCATGCAGAAATATTTCTCACATTTGTTACAGTCACAGAGCTTCCTTTAGATGTGAGCGTGGATGTGCATTGGACCTTTAAGTTTTGGACAAGTGTCCCTCTATATTCACTACCTTCATGTGGTTTCTCCCATGCCTGAGTTCTCTCCTATCTAACGAAGACTGCATTATTATGGAACATTTTCTCAAATTCATGATGGCCTAAGGATTGCTTCAAAACTG